TATATCTAGATGAACAAGGATGCGTCTTGGAAAAATACAGTCAGTTCATTATCTTTATGCATGCTTTATTTTGCCCAATGAGGTTCAGAAAATAAATTTCTTGTGGTGCTTTAAGATCCTTTGGAATTTACAGAAAAATACAGCATTATCTGAAGCTTCTTACCCCATTTACCGTTCCAGGCTCCCTAAATCTGCTTGAGTCATTAACTCACCTTAACAACTGAATCGTGTTTTCCCCTCAGTGTCACCAAGAAGATGAAGTGATTGCTTTCTGGTGTACTTTAGGATCCTTCAGAATAAAGAGCTACGTATGTCCTATGTGCCAAGGTACAAGCAACAGGCCCTGCCTAAAAGATTCAACTTCTGCAGCATTCATGCTGTGTGGCTTGTGTGCAACTGTCCCTGCTAAACTAATTCTGTCATCAGCTGCAAGAGATTCATAAGCCTCCTGTCATCCCTTCAGGTCCAGACTAGCTCTGCAGTCCTGTGCAGATGTTTTTATGCATGCCTGGGAGTAGTGTCAAAGAACAGCATAGCTGCAAAGGATCCCTGGGTTCCAGAGATCCTGCTGCAGATCCTGGGTGAATCGATGGCTCACCTCATGCAGGGTCCAACCGTGGGCACAGAGCAGTGCTTAGCTGTGGCTGCCTTTAATACTTTCTGTCCCCAAAGGGGCTGAGAGCTTCATGCGCTTGTATCAGGGCACAATCATTTTGTATGGGGCAATGATCTTTGGAGAAGCTTAGTCACCAGAAATTGGATTAACTGCAGTAGGATCACACTATGGATGACTGCAGTCTGGGGCTTCCAGTGCTCAAGTCAGCTGTGAATGCACCATAGCACAGGTGGGCATTGATCAGCAGAATTAAAGAAATTCAGGCACCCCAGTCCTGTTGGAAGACAAAGGCTGTTATGCAGGCTGTCTTAAGAGACTTCGGTCCTGTGGCTTATGAAATGAGGTCTTGGGCAAAGCTGCCCAGGTATGAATTGGGAGAGGACTGGCAGTCAGTAGTCAGAAGCAGTTTGGGGCCATGCTTTTCCAAGACCTTTTGAAAATGCTCTGTTAGGTGTTGAATTTAAGGCCCCAGCACTTACACGTTGGCATTTGCTGCTCACTAAAGTAGCCACAGAGAAGTGGGAGATAATTTTTGTATTGCCAAGGGCAGATTTAACACTATAGGGTACACCTTCACAAATCTGTAGAAAAGGGCCAGACCACAGGCAAACTGTGCTTTGTCCGACGAGACGGGGGCACTGCACAGGCAGGTCCTGGCTTAAGGTTGTCAACTGGACAAATTGCAGAATCATATAGGTTGGAAAATATCTTCAGGATCATCCAGTCCAGCCATCGTCTTGACCTACTGAGTCCCATCACTAAATCATGTTCCTCTGCCACATCCACGAATCTCTTAAATACCTCCAGGAATAGGGACTCCACTACTTCCACCACAGGGCATCTTGTTCCACTGCTTGACCGATAAAGTAAAATGACAGATCAGAGCCTAACAGTCACCTCCAACTCAACAGCAAAGGTTAACTGAGCAGTGTTTCTGAGTTTTGAAGGGCAAAAGATGAATCTGAGCTCAAAACCTAAACTGCCAGCATGAGAGGAATTCTGCAAGATCCAGCTCATCTTCCAAAGCCATAGTGAGCAGCATGTTTAAAATATTATCGTGGGGGTGAGCTGCTAGGCCTCACTACATCTTCATCAAAGCAGGAGGGGCAAATTTTGCTTTAGCACCATCTGGATGTCTCTGAACACTATTTCAGAGTAGAGCGAGACCATTCCTTTACTATATTTTAAGAGGATTAAACAGTTCAGACTGCACAGGGCTACAAGGCGATAAGAAGACATTTCTGAAGAAATTTTGAAGAGAAAAATGAATACTTCTGGAGGCAGGGGGAAGTTGGACTTAGACTTCACTAGTTCAGCTGTTTTTACAAGAGCATATCAGCTCTGAAGCGTAGGTATGTGTTTGCACGTGACTAGCATACATTTGAGCAAAGCGTGTGACCTGCAAGCGGTAATGGAAGTTTACGTTCACAATCAGGCATTTCCTATGTGAAAAGGTCTGTTCTGAGTGTTGAAATGCACTACTAACAGGCAGCTTGTTATCTCTGTTTTCCAAGTATAGAGCTGAGGCACAGAAGTATTGGACTAGGCCCGCACAGGGCTTTTCATTTACTTTAATAATGGAAAGGGCTTTTTGTTCTGGTCACTTGAATGGGAATAGGAAGTAGAGTTATCATAAAACCATGGTTTATGCTTTATCCTGCCTACCTTCCTTAGAGTGGCTACAGCTTTCTGCATGCTGGCTGTATATGGAGTTTGCAGAAAACTGCCCATGTTCTCCATAGCCCCTGGTATCTGTTTTCTGTTTTGAGCTCTTTCCAGCCTTTCCTTGACCATTCTATGCTAGACCCAGCAAGGCCTTTCCTGACACCTCTGGGGATATTATGAACATAAGTTACCATCACTCAGTGGTTAAAACCACTTAAAAATACCTGTTCTTGCACTCCTGGTAAGGAAAGGAATAAAAGGTATTTTAATTCTGAACCTAGTGTGTTTGATAAGGCCCATCTAATGCTACTACGAGTTAGCAGTGATTCCTGGGAAAGCATGTGCTAAAAAAAGGATGCAAAGCTTTAAATTGTAGTATACTTCTCTGGAGGGTGGGAAATAGTCATTTTCTCCATTGCCCTACTAACAGGGGTTTCACATCTTTCTGTACCTAGTCCTGTTTCTCAGCTCAGATCCACAGAGTCAGGGGTGGATAAAATTCATCTCATTCGTGTCCTTTGCCCTTGGCATCTCTGCTTTTGTGCTGTTGGTCCCACCGGCTAAGGGTTTCTGGAATCAAAGCTTGGCACAACTAACATATCTGTTGCCCCTTCTGACCTCTCATGCTTTAACAGCTCAAGCCAAGCTTTCTTTAGCTGTTTCAGTGGACTTAAGTCATGTACAAAGCCTTGTGTTTCCAAGGTTTTCTGCTCCATGTGAAGTCTCTCGCTTTAGAGGGCAGTACAAGGACTGCAGCATAATCCCTGTTATCTGAGAGTTCTCAAGAAACCCTTTTTCTGATTAAGGTTTCAATTTGAACCTTTTTTTTTTTTTTTTTTAATGTCATTAAAACCCACATGCATTTATTTGTATGTCTTCTAATACTGCTATGGTATCATCCATGTTTAAGAAGTATTCCTGGGAGCATCAGCAACCTCTACTAGGACTTGGGCCCCTTTTTCTGCTCAAGGAGAAAAATGGTAATGAAAGGTTGCAAATACAAAAGCTATAAATATATCAGAAAGCAGAACCGCATAGTTCTGTTTGTTCATCCCACTGCCAGTGAGGGACCCTGATCCCTTCCCTTCTGCAGTCACCTCTACAGTTCTGCCCATGTGATGGGTTTCCCTCACATCCCTGCAGTGTGTATTCCATAGATCTGCCTATTAGGAAATGTTTTCTGAGGCTTAACCTCAACTTTCCTTTGTTCTAGTTTATTCCATCACACCATGGACTGTGCTTGAACTGATGGGACTTGGAATTGTGCCTGTTTTCACATAAAAATGCAGAGCAATAACAGATGAAATGGCAAAGAAATTAAGAGAAGCAAATGTGAATTTGGCAGAAGCCTCTTTTTTTTTTTTTTTTTTTTTTTTTTTGAGTATATTTGCTGTTGTATTTGTCGGTAGGAAATCTCTGAAGCCCTCCTCGATTACGTGGAGCATTATTCAGTGGGTTCCAAAGACCCTAAGTCTTCCCACGTTGCCACTTAGGCTCACAGTCAGCTTAACAAGAAGATTCCAGATAAGACAAATTCTGACATTGTGTCCAGAGATAAAAGAAAGAATTGTTGACCCCAACTATCTGCCTGTAAGCTATTATTTTATATTCTGATTTAAATGCCCCAACTCCAAAAAGAGAACAATGCCCCCTAACATCACACCGATCTTTTCCTATGCTGTTGGAGCAGTCAGTAGAAAGATGTAGAGCAGTTTCACGGTGAATTAAGCTGGGCTTATCGACACCAGCATTTCAGGGGATCTCCCCTCCCGCTACTAAGGGGTGTGCGGCAAGGAACAAAGCAGCCATGTCGCGCAACAGCTACCGAAGATACTGACAGCAGAAAAGTACGTCTTACCTGGTTTATAGATGGGCAAAACGTCTTGTCAGGGCTTCGTTGCGGCAGTTTTGAAGAGAGAAAGGAAAGGAGGGGATAAACGTTCTCTGGCAAGTGAGAAATGTCTTGATTTTGGGAGATAGGAGAGGAACAGGCCACACCATCCAGTGAGCTGTCTGGCATTTGCTAACCTCCGTTAACTGGTTTCTTTGAAACGTGACCTATTTCCTTGTTGCACAGGAAAGGAAAGAAGAGAAAATAAAAGCTGTGTAACCTCGAAGAGTGAAAGAGCTAAGAGACCTTCTCAGTGCCAGGTCTTCTGTGGGAGAATACAGATCAGAGGAAGGTGGTGAAGATCAGGTTTTGTTCAGATGTGTTGAGCGAAGACATTACCATGGCAGTACAGCTTTCTGCTTGCCTGTTGAACAGATGTTCCTTGGGAGGTGAGCCCTTTTGCACAAGCCCATCTCTGCCATACCATGATATGGTAGGTCCCTTGGAAGTCATGAGGTGGTCAGGAGAGCTTAGCCTCTCTCAGTTGTTCACATCCAGCCCAGGATGAGAGGCCCTCTGTTCAGGGCTTCTTTGAAGTGATGGTGTGTGATGGTCAAGACCTAGCCTCAGGAACCTAAGAAGCTTCTCTTAGGCTGTTTTTTTTTCTGCTCAGCTTCCCAATTAACTGTTTGTAGAGCCAAAACAGCCACAAGACTAACAGCTGGGAACCATCCAACACCAGTCCTACCAAATGTAGTTTTTTCTTGGAAGGGCTTTCAGCTGTTCCTCAAGGGCATGCCTCCTTTTCCAGGAGGAAATAATGTTTCATCACCAGCCACGATAAACAGATCATTACCACTTGACAGCTCATTAGGCTGAGAGAAATGGGCTAAGGATTGGAGTTCTGCGCCAAATCACAGGTGACTAGGAAGAAGTGCTGCAGAGCTGTGACTTGACTGCTTGAATGCAAAGAGCTTCTCCAACAGATGCATGGATGGAGAATCCCCCAAATGTCTCAGTGATGCAGGTAGAAGACTGCATTGTAGAAGAAGTCAGGATTGGGGCTGTAACTGTGGCAGGCAGAGCTTGCTGATGTTGAAGGCTGGGAAAAAAAATGTTGTGGTAGGATTACATACACTCGAGGATACCTTGCATTTTGCATTATTTGACTGTATGGCATTTCATGGACAAATCTCCTCAAGGAGATTTGTTTATATTTTTGGTATGGGGCTGTACATGATGTTGACTCAGAAATCAATATGAAAGGTTGTTGCAGGCACAAAGTGAGACCCTGAGATGGAAGATGAGTCACCTAGGCAGTTTAAAAGTGTGAAAACATGGTGTCCCAACACACACCTTTGCAATGTGAGCAGAGGTCTTGCTCCTGAGTACTCAGCAAGGCTCACTAGCACACTTGTCCTTTGCCCAGAACACTCACAAAGTTTTTAGGCATTGTGTAATCATTTTGGTAATTTTTTTTTCAGCTTTGCTTTCAAATCTAGCAGTGGCTCATTCAAGCTGAAGTGACAAGTTTGGGAGACACCAACCCAATTTTATCTAACACCTGGGGTTAATTAAACTGTTTTTCACTGTTGAGCAATTAGTTTGCATGTTTCCACACTAGTGGAAAATCAGAAACATTTGTTTATAGCTGGTTTTACTTGTAGATTCTCAACCTGCAGTATTTGGGCTACAAATAAACAGAGCAGTTTGTTTATTACAGCAGTAGCTAAAAGACCGAATGGAGGATTGTTGTGTTAGGTACTGTACAAACATAAAAAGGATTAGTCTGTGGCCAAGTAGCTAGTCCCAACATGGACATGGGGCCAGGCTCTGATGTAGAGCCAGAGCTGGGAACTCTGCCCAGGCCCTGCAGTTTAGACGTAGCAAGAGTTTTTTATTTTTGTTTTATGTACAAAATGGTTATACAAAATGACCCCATCAGGCCTCAGCATCATCTCTTATGTGCTTTAATGGCAGCCTTACAAGCCTTAAAATGAGCACTGGCCTCTGAGTGTCGTGCAAACTGGTGCTGCAGCTGGATGTGCTGGAAGCACTTGGGCATCAGCCAGCATTGCCCAGAAGCGATGTGCTGTGTTTGTCTGCAGTCATTGCTCTTTGTTTCTTCTGGGTTGGGTGCAGCATCCCCTTGGGGGTTTCTACCTGCATGGTGTTGAGTCCGGACCTCGCAGGATCAGAATGTGCAGCCTCTGCTCCATGTAGCCACACGAGGGTGCAGTGTCCCTGGGCTGCTGAGCCTTGGGGCCAGGGTCCTGCAGCTCTGCTGAGCACAGGGCTCCTCTCCACCTTCAGGGTGAGGGAGGGTGCAGGGGAGCTGTGGAGAGAGGATTTCAGGCATCTCCTGGAAATGCAACCTCAACTCCTCATCCTAGAAGGAGGGAGCCGCTGCTTGTCACTGCTTGATGCTGGAGGCAAATTGTAGTCGCTGTCGGTTGCCCCTGAAACTCTTGTTTCAGGCAGGGTCTCATGCCCCCTCTGTTGTTAAATCATGTCCCTTTACCCTTCTCCATTTTCTAGGCTTTCGTGCTTGTGATTGAGGCCTTGGCTTGGGAAGATGTGTGCAGCTCTGAGGTGACTCCATCACCCCTCCAGAGGCAGGCCCAAGCTGGAGCTCAGTTAAGATTAATTCTTGAGTAGAGGACTATACGTGGCCTGGTCTGAGGACAAGATCTGTAGGGCTGTACTGTTTTCAGGCACAGTCCTGTGGAGGCTTTTGCTCCAGGCACACACATGGGATCTGGTTGTTTGTCTTTGTGTGCCAGGAGGCTCTAGTGCTGTGTTCAGCGTCCCAGAGGGACTGCAGCCCCAGGTGAGGAGACCACCTGCCTGGAAGAGGGAGAGGGGATAGGTAACACAGAGCAGGGAAGATGGGTGTTTGCAGCCTCAGTCCCTCTTAATTACACACTGAGTGTATTTGGAGACGAGCTGCAGCAGACAGAAAGCCCCTAGAATGGCACCAGGCCATGCTTTGAGCAATTAGTTTTTCCTTGGCCAGAAGCGGCACCATTCAATTAAACCCCAAATATTTTGTTTAGCTGCTCTTTTTTGTACGTGCTGTGGGGGCTCAGACAATGGCTAGTGTGGCCTGTGAAGGAAGGAAACTAATCTTTCCACCCAACTAGGGAAGTGGCCAAAAATCCAGCCCAACAATTGCAGTTCCTTTGAACTCCGTTTTCAAGCAGAGAGAGCCAGGCCCTTCCAGGGTGAGCGGCTGTGAGGAGGAGTGGCCCTTGCTCTTGTTTTGCGGTGCCCTGGCTGCAGGGACAGGAGCTTGGTGTGGCCACCATCCAAGGCAGTATCCAGGGGCAGGTACACGTCGGATTTCAGTTCCTGCAGCCACACTTCTGGCTTGTGGTCACACGCTCCTTGAGGGTGAAGGAAGGTGCTGGAGCACAGCTTCCTCCTCCTCCAGGACATCTCCTGCTCAGATCATGCTGCTGCTCCGTCCCAGAAGTGGATCTCAGAGGGCTTCAGCCAGTAGAAGAAAATGCATTATGTCTGTGAAATGCGAGGATATAGCCTCTGCCTCTGGTTCAGCCCTGCGCTTGCTGATAGCAGAGGGTATGGGAGGATGTACTGCAAAAAAAAGGAATGATGGCTTCTTGCTTTTTTTTCTTAATCCTTTTGCTCAAGCATCCCATGACCAATATCAGATTAGGCACAGGGCTGGCCAGGCCTTGGGTCTGACTCTGTGGCTTTCCCTGTCCTCCATTCTCATCTAACAGCTGTGTGCTCACCAGCCTGCCCTGGGTCAGCCTGGGTGGCACCCAGCACCCTCCCCACAAGCTGTGGCTGCAGAGGTCTGCCCTTAGGGCCAGATCCTGTGGCTTTGGCTCTGTATGGATGTAGACTTGGCTTATACCTTCCCCTGTTCCTTTCCACCCTCTTGCCTTTCATGCAAATCCTCTCATGCCAAAAGGCTCCCTGGGAATGGTTTTGGGGTTTGTCTGACCCAGAGAGGGGCTCAGGTTGGGGCTCTGCTGCCTGATGCTGCAGTCTTTTCCTCATGTCCTTCCCAGGGCATGTCTCTTTCCAGAGAGAAGCAGGGCAATTGGGAAGGGTTGGTTTTTATATTTGCAGGATGGCCAGGTAATTATCTTTGCCAAGGCTTTGCACATTCTGCTTTCTGATCTCAAAGAAGACTTCAGACAGAAGAAAGAAATGAGTGCCTGCCCTTTATTGTTGGTTATTGTTTTATGTGTCCTGAAAGGGCTTTTTTTTCATAAAAAAAAAAAAAAAAAAAACTATTTTATTATTTGCAGTGTTTATTCTGTTCTTTAGAAATGTATTGTCCTCTGTGGGACACTCCACGGTGGCAGCAGAACAAGAGAAATTATGCATTACAGGAGCCAACAGGGCGAAAATGATGTAACTTGGGAGGGAATGGACTTCTTAAAACACTAACAAATTCTTGAGGGCTTTTTTAAATTTAAAGCCAATACCTAATCATGCTATAGAGCACAGCTGTTGTTATTAAGGCAATTTCATCAGACATGCATTTTTAAAAACATTTTGAAAGCTAGTTATAATGAAGGATGGGAATTTCATTTGTGTGTTAGTTTTTTTTGTTGTTGTTGTTAGGGGGGAATCCTGTCCTGTTTTTATCTGTTCTGTCTGCTATGTGCTGCCGTCAGTGTGACCCCTGTGCTTTACTGCTTTTATAGGGATGTTTTATTGGCCAGGGAGCCGTCAAGGCCCCAGCCCGCATTGCCTTTGGGACTCTGTGAGCAGCTCTGTCTGCCTGGGAGGATCGCTGCCTGCTCTTTTGCAGAGGGTTTAGCTGATTAGTTTTATACTGTTGCAGGCAAGACCTGCCTTCTGCACTGATGTCAGCAGTCAGGGCGGGACTTTTACAGCCTTGTGGGTTTGGGATTTTTTTGGATAATCCTGGCAAAATTCCTGAGCAAAGTTTCTTTTTTTTTTTTTTTTTTTTTTTTTTTGAGCAGCTCCTATACATGCTGCCTCCGAGCCTCTCTCTTATTACTGCTCACTTCCTGAAAGGAGACTTTTTAGCATAGTCTCTAGGTCCAGCGCTGCCTGGGTCTGACAGAAGAAGGTTATTGAGGAAGGCAACATAAACCCTCAGCCTGGAAACTTTCTGACACCCGCAGAACTGAGGGGGAGAGAGAAGCCTTTGGCTGCTGCTGGGAAAAAGAAAAAGAAAAAAGAAAAACAAAAGAAGCTCAAAGAATTAAAAGGGGAAAAAGAAGAAAGAAGGGAAAACGCTAGAAAAAGGTAAAACAGTCTTTAAAATATTTTTTCCAGAGAAAACTCTTTGAGGTTGGAGTGGGGTGGTCTGGGGTAGAGGGAATGTGAATGTTCTTTGAAATCAGAACCGTCTCCCTGGAGAAGGAATGAGCCCGAAGAGTATTGCATGCTGGAAAAACATTTATGAGAATGAAAACCATGTTCACCCTTCTCCAACATTCAGAGTTTCCATAAAAACGCAGGGTTGTGTTTCAAAGTGTCTGCAGACGGCAGGAGTCAGGCATCTGCTCTCGCGCGCTGTCTCTCTCACCTCCCCCTTTCCCCACACCACTCTACTTTTTATTGCATTAAGCCATCTGATTGCATGTTTGCTGCTTTAAAATAGGATTCTCTGAGGCAGAGCTGCTGTGGGTGAAACTCTTAATTACAGAAAGCAGCAGCTACAGTCACTGCTGCAGAACTCTGCATTCCTTGCTGTCCTCATTCCTGTGAATAGACGTGGATTGCACTCCCTCTCCCTCTTTTGCTGCCTCTCTCCATCTTCAGGAGCTGCCTCTTTCCCTCCTGTGCGATGCGGGCAGAGGATTATAAACTGTCTGACCTGAAAAAGTTGCAAAGTCATTAACTTCATGTGCATCACCAGGCATTTGGCCCTGTTGCACTAGTCATATATTTCTTTGCTCTGATTATATTTTGAAGGGGTTTTTAATAAGATCAGTCCCTCAGAACATGTTATTTTAAACATCAAAGTAAATATTAGTGATGGTGAAATGCCAGAAGATTATCTCATTAGAGCTGAAGGAGCTGCACTATAAATAGAAAGGAGTTTATAAAATAACCTTGGCAAAAATCTTCCAGAGGGGAAAAATCCACCTGGGAGAGAAGCGCGGAGCCACTCTGGTCTGTGCTGCGCTCCAGGGCAGGTACCTTGCTTTGGCGCCAGCTGCGTCTGGGCGGCAAAATTTAGTATTTCAAACCGAGGCTCATTTAGGGGCACATTTCTGATCAAGTGTATGCTTGGCTGTGAACCTCAGGGGGCTTTTGTTTTCCTAATTAAGTCCATGCCAATACCCACATTGGCTGGAGATAACTCAGACATGCCAGGGAGATCTGTTTCTTATTCTGCTCATTAATACTGTTGTTAGCAGAGCTTGCATGGTGACAGCACACAATCGAGTGCATGATGGGTGATAGCAGGAAGATTTTTGAAGCCTTTCTTTGTTCATTCTTGGTCTCCCTCACACCACAGGCAGTGGAAGGGAAGATGCTTTGTCAGGCTGCCCAGGTAGTTCCTCAGCCACTGCAGGAGCATTCCCTCTACTCACCAGTGCCGTGCCCAGACTAGCTTTAAATGCCTGAGCCAAAGAGTCTTCCTCTAGTTCTGGGGAGATGGTTCCAGTGTCACGAAGTTTCTCCATATAAGGCTCATGCAGGCTGTCTCGGTTGCTCCATCCCTGACATCCCATTGTTCTGGGCTGGCCCCACCAGCAGCACCCGCGGGCAGCACCCTCCAGTTTCCGTCTCCTTCATTAGAGAAACCTCCGGTGATTGTAGGTGCGTCTGCTGTTGTGTTCCCCAAGCAGCTGCTTGATGGTGGAGTGGGAAAGGCCTTGTCATCTCCTCTAAATCATGCTTTTTCCAGATAAGACTTCGGGGCTGAACTGTTTCATTTGGCAGAGCAGTGCTCCAATAAGCTGTGAGTGAATGAGCTATCGATGGGGTGAAGTATAACCCTAAGGGAAGGTGTTGCCTGCTCAACATAAACAGTTTCTCCTCATCATGCGAGAGGCCTTTTAATTACCAACATGCAATCTTGTAACTTGAGAGCTCTTTTATCGCTGATGGCTCAAGGCCACCCAGAGGCTGTTGTGGGGAGGAATAAGTGTGCTTATCACATACAGCCCTGGACTGGGGACAGCGTGGGCTCTGCTGCCATAGAGGGCTTTTCAGTGCAGGTTGCATCAGGCCCACCTAGGAGATAATTCTGTTCAAGCACTCATCTAAAGCTTATCTGAAGCCCCCAACTCCAAAAACCACTTTTCTTGCCAAGTTTCCAGCAATTAGTTCATTCTAAGCCAGAAACAATGCAGGATGTGTTTGTCACGTCCTGTCCTGCCTAGATCTCAATTTAACGCAAATTAACTTAAAACAAACAGAATTTGAATAAAATTTGTCAATTTTTCAGAAACAATTCACTAGTGATTTGGATGATGTCAGTTCAAATGTGCTAGAGATATGCAAGTCAAAAAGATCTTTGCTTGACCCCAGCACCCATAGGAAATATTTGCAGGGCAAGCAGTTGCAGACATTTGCTGGGAATCTGTAAGCAGGTCAGATCTCATGTGCAGCTATTGCAGGGTGAGAAGCATAGAATACCACCAGCCTAGGTACTGACTTGTTTGTCAAGGCTGTAGGGAGTTTTAAAGGGATATCATCAGGCAAATCTTACCATCTCAGTTACTGGGAGTGCCTTACATCAAGTCTGCAAACAATTCAAGTATTGGGAGATTCTCCAGTGAGAACATGTGCCAAAATATTTTAGCTCCATCTGACTTGAGTGGAGCAATGTCAGTGGCACACATTAAGTGCAGGGTCTCCGTCCAGCTGCTCTGTTGCTGCTGCTCTCCTATGTACTGCATTTGCCCAGATGGGGAAAAGACATGCTTGGGATATGCTGTGTTCAGCATCTCTATGCTCCTGTTTATCATCCCAAGCCACCATTACTGCAATTGTTTCCTATTCTTCCACTGTAGCTCCATTTTTTAAAAGTTCAAATTAATCTATTCCTGTGTAGTTCTGCAAATTCTTTTGAACTCAAACATATATAAATCTTTCTTCCAGTTGAATTTAAGGGTGAAATCCTGGCCTCCTGCAGTGAGAGTTGTGCCATTGACCTCAACAGGACCAAGACTTCACCCTGTGGGCTTCATTTAAAACCACGGTGAAAATCACTAGCTAGGCCCTATTGGGGTTAGCAGCTGGGCAGCTCCTCTGCATCTAGGCAGGGATAAATGTACTGGGTGACCTTTGGACTGCAACTTCCTCACTAGGAAATGCCACATGTTTTTGTGAGATGGCACATTCTGCTGCACCCTGCCATACCCCACCAAATCCAAACCATCTGGGCCATATGTTTCCCTGAAGAGAGAACCTGGAGGGAGGGGAAAAAGTGCCCATAAACTCTCTGCACAGCGCAGCTCTTGGAACTCACTCGTGGGAGCCAGAGACTAAAAGCGATCTGCAGATCCTCCAGAGCTGAGAGCTGGAGTGAATCGGGAGCCCCGTGTAGTCTGCAAGACCTCATCCCAGTGCAGAGCTCACAGTGTGTTTCTCTGTGGAAATGTATATGGGGACCTGGGGGTGCTCACTGTCACTATCGTGCTGCCTTGCACCAAGGGGGGACCCCCATGCCCTTGCGTGGGCTTCCTGCATAGCTGTGGTCAACTGGCTTTGCTTTTTGCCTTGGTTTGCCCTGCTGTGAAATGAAGTCAGTAGGGAGAGGAGAGGGAGGCTGCAGGGAGACTTGGGGATACAGGGAGGGTTGTAAGGCGGTGGGATGGTGCAGCCATCAGGGTCTTGGGGGTGAGTTGTGCTGTGTGCCGGCAGTGTTGTGCTCCTAGTGCCCCGGGAGGCTGAGGCTGCGTGCTTGCCGTTCAGGGGACAGCCTGGGCCCCATGGTGCCGACTGTACACAGCTGAGCAGGCAGCGATGCAGGTAGAGCAGATGGAGAAAGGTGCCTCTGGCCAGCTGGGGCTCTGCTCACCAGGCTCCTTTCTTCTGTGTTGCCATGATGCAGCTGCTTCTCTGATTTCCTAGAAGGAGAGCCTGGTCCAAACTTATTTTTCCATTTCTGGGTATTCCTCCGCAGCTCACTTCATTTTTCTAAGCTGCTCCTGTGTGTGACCCCATGGGACAGCCTGAGTTTTGTTAGTTAACCCTGTTCCGAGAAGCGGATGGGACCAGGGATCTCTGTGGGTCACTCAGTTACTCTTCACTTCAGTGTGGCAGGACCAAATCAGCAGTAGGGGGTTAGAGACAAGCAATGCTGTGAGTTCTTCCCTGTCCAGAGCTGTGCTGTTGCTGGTGTGGAGTTGGATGCTGCTGTGCCATGAGGATGCTGTGCTGGTGGTAGGAGCTAGTTGCCTCTGCATTCACTGCAGGTCCCGCAGCACTTCTCACAGCCCTTCTGGGTAACAGGAGCCACCTCAGGTGTCCTCCTTGGGAAGCTTGGTAGGCCTTTCTTGTCTCTCTGGCTTCAGTGTGTGAGACTGCGCTGTGCCACGGATGTAGGTGGTGTGGTGGGCAAGGAGCCGGGCTACAGGGGGCTATAGCACATGATCCTGATGATCCAGACCCATCTTGGAGTGTTCTAATGCTGGTGCAGCGCCAGGATGTGTGGGATACAGCCCTACCCTAAAGCCAGGTTGAGGAAGGAGACATTTAGGAGGTGTCACACTTGGTGTGTCAGCTGTAACAGGTCTGCATAAGGTATAGCTGCTTGTGCTGAGGCTTGGGAACTGTGGATCCTCTCTTGACCACGCTGGACCCTGCAGGCAGGAGGGTCTGCAGTGGGACTGGTGGCTCTTGTGCAGCTCAGGTGGTTGAGAACCAATGCAGGAGCTATTTTCCCTTTGAGCTGCTGACTAGAAGGCAGCCTACCGGTCCGTTTTGTTTGAGGGGAAGGTTAGGCAATTCTGTAAAAAGCCCACAGCTGGTGTTGGGGCTTTGGATTCACTGGGAAAAGTGACTTTTTGCATGTTTTCTAAAGCTTGCACTCCCCTACATGCTGCAGATGTGCCTGTGCACACGAGTGGCTGACTTCTGAAATGCTCTCCAGTGTGGACTTTCAGATATTCCATGCCTGTAATTCCGGACATTTGCTACCTACACAAACATGGGCACAAAATGTGCGCAGAGAGTACTTATACGAAGGCAGAAGACAGTTGCATTGACACAGAGATGCCAGATATGAAAATAGCATAGGTTCATGGCAGGCCCAGATTTATCAGCGGTGCTTGATAGCGTGCAGGCAGCATGTGCAGGGAATGTGTGGCTACCAAGCACCAACCTGCATGCAGGTAGTATGTATCTGCATGCAGCGGTGACATCCACCCACGTGGACTGCACAGCTGTGCACAGATGTTTGTGGTCCTGGTCTGTGTGCACGTGGCCAGCATGTGTGTATTTAATATGTATAGTATATGTGTATAATTGGAAAGGGCACCATATGGTAGGCAAAGTGCAATTTCTTTTAATGACTGCTCAGTCGTCTTTTTACTGCTGCTGTTTTGTCCATGGCTGAAGCCAGCAAGGAGAGCGGTGGCAGGGGGCCAGCAAGTCTGGGTCACATGGAGCAGCTCCAAACCATTGCATAAGTCCCGTCTGAAAGCGAACCTGCATGAGAACTGGTGGAGTCGTCTCCTTAAAGCAAAAAAATTCGAAGGCTGGGAGTGCTGTGCTGCTTGGTAGCCACCTTGCCCCTGGCTGAAGTTGGCTGGTTTAGCAGCTAGGTTTGGGTTCATCCATGGGGCTCATCCTGATGATGATACGAGCTGGCACTTCTCTACGCTTTCGTGTTGAGGACCTCCAAGCATTTTACCACACTTGGAGAAGTGCAATGACCCCAGCTTTCCAGATAGGGCCAGATCCTTATGTAACAGAGAGATAGGATTTCCAGAAAGCAAAGCAGTCGGTGTCAGAGGGAAGCTGGTGCTCCCAACTCTCCATTCCCATGCCCTTGCTTTGTGATGGGTTCCTTTTATCCCTTTGCTGGTGAAATTAAAGATCCCGCTGCATTTTGGAGGGAGCAAAGAGGTAATTCATTCCTTTCTTCACTAAGATCACCCTGAATAGGCTTGACTGTAAAACAATTTGTGTGTTTAAAAAGAAGAAAAAAAAAAAAAAAAGAAAAAAAAAAGAAAAACACTCCCACACAGTACTGGAGTGAGCCCAAAACCCTATGAAGCTTGCTTGTACAAAGGGACCAAGGGTGTGCCCAGCTAGAGCACGGCAGGGCCTGATGCAGAGCGCAGCAGCGAGGCCGTGAGGAGGAGCCAGTGGTGGGAAGGCAGTGAGGCTGTTCCCCTGCTCACCAGAGCCAGGCACCAGGGTGCTCACAGGGCCACGGAGACCCAGGCTCGTGTCCCTCACCACTCAGGTTCCGACTGGCAGCATCGGTCTGGATTCCCCGCGTTGATGGTAAGCACCTTTGGACAGGATTGGGTCTTACTTTAAAGCTGACGAAAGCAGCGCCTCTCCTTCAAGCAAACTCCAAAAGTGACCCCACTGTCACTGGGGTTGGGTGCTGCGAAGTGGTGCTGCAAGGGTGGGATGGCATGGTGCCTCCGGGCGAGGTGGGCTGCAGCTATGGCACCATCCTGTGGCTGGAGCCTGCTGCTTTCTGGTGAATGATGATAACCACGTTTGTTTCTAATTCTTTGCTTGCCATGCCCCCAGAGAGGCCTGTCTTGGAGCAGCAAAGCTGATTAAGGTTCAGGCTCTTGTTTTCACTTCTGCAGATCTGTGACTTTAACCCATTTTTCTCATTCCTCAGCCCATGGTCCTAGCAGTGAGCTGGCATGTAGCTAATGCTGAATTTTCTGTTTTTAACCCATAACTTTATTCTAGAGACGAGAAATGACTTCCCACTGGAAGCCCTGTCATGCTGTCAGGCTGGCTGCAAAAAGAGTTCTGCCATCTGCAAATCAGGTTGTTTTCAACTGAGCAGTCCCTCCAGATCCTATCAGGACAGTCTCCTGCTCACAGCTGGGAGGTCTTGGGAACCTTTGGCCCCTCATCTCCTGCTGGAGGACATGCGGCAGGCAGAGGGGGAGCAACAGTTTGCTCTGTCCTAAGGAATGTGCAGGAACCTGCTGAGTGCTGGGGAGATAACTGTGCCCACCTGAAGCACCCGCCCCAGGGCAGTGCAGTAGGGCCAGCAGCCCCCGGCCGGGAGCAAACACGCAGCTGCATTTTGCATCCTGGTGCCGGGAGGGAGGAACCCGCCTGTTTCAAAAGTTCTGGGGTGTGCAGAGCCTGAGGAGATGAGAAGGGGAGATAGCAATGATGAGAGGTGATTTAGGAGTAGTTTATAGGGAAAGGAGGTAGTTCTGTCACCCGTGGCTTTTCTTGTTTCCTGCTCCCTTTGCTTCCCCTCCATATGACCATGGATGGCAAAGAGGAGCCAGGAGGGAGTGGGGTGAGAGGAAGGAGATGTCCCCTTTGGCTGTACAGTGTGAGCGGACCTGGCTGTGCCTGGCTGCGAGGGCTAAGCTCTGATTGCTTTCTGCAGTAGTGACTGGCAAACGTTGTCCTTTCCTCCAATCTGGACCAAGAAGTCGTTGAATTAGGCATGCAGATTTGCTGCGTAAAAGTTGGTGTTTGATAGGTTTGGCTGCATGTGCAAGAAGGCAGATAATTTTCCTTGAAGGCACTGCATGGCACTGCATCTGGGAAGTGTTTTTTCTATCTCTTTCTGGAGCCATCTGCCCTTGTGTTTTCTTATGCTGAAAAGCCTGACCTGGGTCACCTGGGTGGCTTTTTGCTGGCTTCCTTGGGTCACAAGGAGGAGATGTTGGTGTCGGCACTGACTGCTTGTGCTCTGCTCTCTGGAACGGCCCCAGCAGGTGCTGCTCACACCAGAGTCACCCCCACAAATCACCCTGTTTCACTCTGCCCTGCACCCAGGTTGCCTCCAATGAAGGTCCCTGCGGTCACGGAGGGGGTCCTGGCCTCCTGGTGAGGGGCTGGCAGCTGCTTGCAGAGCAGCCAACCACGCAACATGGGGATAAAGTGAAAGATGAGAATCCCAGCACAGGATTTTGGCACAGGGAGAGATCTTGGGGTGCGTTCCTTTCTGGTAAATTGGGATTGCTGCAGGGTCAACTATGAAAAGAGGGTCAGCAGAAAGGAGACCCAGACATAGCTGCCTGGCAAAGCTCACCAGGGCTTCTAAGGCATTCCAGTCCCCAGTTAAACAATTTCCTCAACACTTGCACTTTATCTGCCACCTGCGCATGCTCGCTCTTGTACACATCTGGAGATGGAGCTATCGGTCTGGGTGCCTCTGTTGCCTTGTCCCCAGCAGTGCTCAGTTCCGCAGGTCAGGCAGTGGCAGGGATGTGGCAGTTTGTGAGTTGAGGTCATGTCCCCTGAGCAAAGCACGTGGGCTGGAACCGGGACAGTCCATGGAGACCACACGGAGTTATCGTCCTGCCCTGCAGCAGTATTTGTGAAGCAGATTTCAGCCAAGGATTTCCAGCCAAAACTTGCGGGCCTCTGTGAAGCAACAAGAGCAGGTGAAAAGGTGAAAAATTTTTACAGAAAACATGGCCGTTTTAGGATCAGTCTCTGTGAGCTACAGACACTGCGAGGTTTGCAGCATGGAGCAGTGGGTCTCTGAGAGTGGTAAGCAATCCTGAGAGGTCTCTACATGTGTGGGGCTGTGCACTGCGGCCAGGCAGCTGCCCCCCATGGGATGTCTGACACATTGGCTTGGTGTGCTGGCCGTTGGGAGGGGTTGTGCTGTGGGACGTGGCATTGTGACCCTGGTGCAGCTAGGAAGTGCCGTTAGTCCCATTTTACAGCAGAAAGGCCACATCCACAAGAGCACCAGGTTTCAGGGATGGTGGGTGCCTGGGGATCTGAGTGGTTTCAGCTTAAAGCGCATTGTCCAAGGTGGTGCAAGATGTAAGTAACAGCCAAGTCACATAAATCCTGCACCGGCCCTCACCCCCCCAGGCTGTCCCTCTCTGAAGGCTGTGCCCTGGTGTCATTGCCACAGCCAGCTGCTGCAAGGACACAGGACCAGGCCAACTACTTTCATTCATTTGTTAACAGCATCGCTAATAGCAGAGCCCAGAACTGCTCTGCTGGGTGAAGCTGTGCTGCCGCAGCTCTGCTCTCACTGTTCGCGGCAGCTGACGCTGCACATCGGGGAGGATGTGTCGGTGGAAGGGCCAGGGCAGGGAGGGGGGCGCATCAGAAGTATTTCCTCCCACCGGGACATGCTGGAAGCAGAGAGCTGTGTTTGTATTTATTTCTCTCTCAAAAAGGGAAAAGGACACCTGAGCTCATAATTTGCAAAAGTTGGATGAGAAACCTGGAACCCGCTGGGTCCTGCATCTTTAAAAGCATTTAAATTCCTCTTCTCTGCACTAGGAGGCACCTTGAACCTTCCTCTTGGCCCCGGCCAGGGCCCATCTGCTTCCTATTACCTTCCCATAAAGCTGCCTCACCAGCCAAAAAGCCAGGCTTTCAGGGAATTCTGTCTGCAGCCCTGATGTTGAAATTAGTAACAGTTGTCATCTGTTTTTCTTTTTTCTCTTTTCTTTATTCCAGCTTGAATTTTACCCCTCTCCTCCCCCCTTCTTGAGTGTTTTCAGTGTCGGAAGAGGAAACCTTGAGTCCAGCCGCGAGCTCGCGTGGCATCACCTCTCCGTGGTCCTCGTCAGCCCGGCTCTGTGCTCCCGCTGTCCCTGCCGCTCCCGCAGAGCGGGGCAGGCAGCAGCCTCCTCGTGCAGGCGGCTCAGCCCACGGGTTCACACAGCGAAGCCACCTTGGCGCTGGGAGCGGGGAGCGTCAGCCGCTCGCGGGGCTCCTGCCAAGGACAACGAATTCCTCGGGAAGGAGCAAATCACAACCGGCCCAAGCGAGGGAGGCACGAGACCGGGAGAGGTCACCCCATACCCTGGGCCTCCCTCAGCCGCAGCCGGTCCGTCCCGCAGGACCCTGGGGTCCCCAAGAGTGTCTGCGCCTGCCGACCACTGCCCTTCGGGAGGCGAAATGTGAAAACTGAGGTTATGGAAAACTTTGTGCATGGTGAAGAAGCTGTGGAGCCCTCGGCCTTCCCTGTGTTTCTGGTCTGTCTTGCATGATACGGGCTCGTTGGAGCCTTGCAAGTCAAGCGCTGCTGGAGAGGGGTTGTGTTCCCCTTGCCATGTGCAGGAATCAGAGCTGGGGCCCTTCCCCCGCGGCAGCTTACGGGAACTTTGCAGCTGTAATTCCTAACATGTGGCGCTCGGACCAGAGCTCCTTCCCCGAGGTCAGGGGGCTGCGGGCTCTTGGCACCGGCAGCTCCCTCCCAGCTCTCAGGGCCTGGGGCTGCCACAGGGCAGGCAGAGAGGAGGAGAGGCTGCTGCTGTCGTTCGGGGTCGTGGAGAGGAGGAAGGACAGGAAATAATGACATCCTTGAGGAAGCTGATTCAACAGCTGAAAAACACGAAAAATTAGTAGTGTAAAGCGCAGGAGAAAATATACTTCAGCTGAGCGGCTTTCTGTCCGCAGACCTTGGAGCTGTGACAGAAATTGAAAGCTGGAATCTCAAGCTTTAATAGATTCTGAAAAATGCTGACTTAGGAGAGTGCCGCAGCACGCTGGGCTTTAGTTTCGACTCTGCCTTTCTTGGTTCACTTTCTGCAGCCCTGCAGGGAATGAGGACAAGCCAGTCTGTGGTGCTTAGCTGTGCACAGCTGCTGCCCTCACTTTGCCCTCTGCAGCACAGCCAGGAGGTGGCACGGTGGACAGCCTGCACTGGGTGACTGTGGTCTTGGGGCTGTACTGCTCTTGGCATCCCTGTGTCGTGGTGGCAGATGGTAGAAAGTCCTGCCAGCCCTCCTGCCTCCACTTCCTGTTTCCGTGTACCATCGCTGCTGAGCAGAGCAGCATGAGATGAGGCCTTAGCCTTACAGGGTTGTTCTCCAGTCAAGTACTTGTTTCTTATGGCTGCTGATGGTGTGCGCAGTCTTTGGGGCAGCTGCTGGGGGTGTCCTGTTCTGGACTTTGCAGAAGCCAACCTGGCATGTGGCTGGGGAAACCAACCTGATATCACTGATAGTCTTTGGCCATTTTTAACTGTAAATAAACAGTTAAAAATCTGTAAATAAACTGTAAATAAACAGTTAAAATAATAATAAACAGTTAAATAAATAATAATAAACAGTTAAATAAACTTTAAATAAACATTTTAAAATCTTAATGCTTAAATTATGGAGCTCAAAAGTGTGTTTTAAAGACACACAGTTAATCCTCACAACATTTTTTGTCTGGCAGGGAAATACCATTAAGATAGATTCCTTTTGATTAATATTGGGGCAGGAATCACCTCTGATTTCTTACCATGCCTCACCTGTGTATTCTGGCTTGCAATGTGTGTTACTCCAAGCCTCTGCAGCCCAAATAATGCCAACTGCATAGTCAAGACAGGAGAACAGAACTAGAAATAAGTTGCAGACTCCTCTGAGGACGGGAGGTGAAGGGGTCCGTGGCAGGAGTGAGGAGGGATGGGTCTCCCCTGCCCTGCAGCCTAGCTAGTAGCTCGCCTTTGCTTTTCTAAATGTGCAAGAGCAGAGCGGGGTGCTGGTTCATAACATTATTCCCAGTGTTTAAAGACCACACACAGGCCATCCCTGTTGACACCTTTGCAAAAACCACCATCCTCTGGCCGAGCATCACGCACATTCCCAAGCACATCTTCCGTGAGCTCCAGAGTGTCCCCTCCTCACCCTGCAGTGCTCAAGCCCCAGGTGCTGCTGTGGAGCCGCGTGAGCTGTAGCTGCGGTACTGATCTGGTCAGACATCGGTATGGGCTTAGCCATGACACCGCCGTAGTTCTTCTGTGGGAACGTCTGCATTTTGATACGGGGCTTCTCCCAAGCACAGCATTGCTCTTCAGATACTTGGGATTCTCCAGGCGGTAGATATGTGCCACGTTCATTGCATACATCATCTAATCGCTGGATAGAAACAAAAAACCTCAGCTTTATGCAACTCTCCAGCACTATGTGAGTTTTGTATAATTGCCTCAAACTGAGGGGAAATTATCTGCAAGCCAAAAATCTTTCACTGAAGCAATTAGCAAATCATTTTAAATAACAAATACAATTGGATACAATGGATACAATCTCATAATCCATTTGTGGATAGAGCTTAGGGTAATGGTGAGTTCACTGAATGGGTTCATTGTTTTGAGTCGCTTCTTTAGGTTTAGCCAGTATTGTCAGAGGGCAAGTGCTCTTTTCTCAGTGCAGTGGTGATCCCTAAAGTGTACTTTAAAGCCAGGGAAATTGAAATAGAATTTCTAGATCACCGCTTGCTACCACCCTGAATGCTTTCATTTCATATTTTCCTTTTTAAGAAATCAGGTAACAGATCCGGTAACTGTTTGTTCTTCCTTGTGGCATCATCAGCAGGACAAAGTGTTCCCATTTATTCCAAGCCTCCTTTCCTCCTGCTGTGTGAGGTGTACACCAGCTCCAATCCCAATTCAGGCTGCCGGAGCAGCGCAGGGCTGCACTGTGACAGAGTTCGCCCCTGGCAGAGTGCAGGGGTGCACAACGTACTGTGACTTTCTGATGTCGCAATCTGGCTCAGTTAGCTGAATTTGTATTTTCTTCACATCCTTTTCTCCCCTTCCTTTTAATTTCTTTCCATCTCTCATATGCTTGTTCTTCCCTTCTCTAGGTCCTGGCTTTCCTTGTTCATCCACACACTGTTTTACCCTATGCATCCTTCTACTCCATCCTGTTTCCCCTCTCCCCTCCTCTCCTGTTCATTTGTCACCCTTTCTTCCACAGGGGCAATGCCACCGAGAACCTTTGATTCCAATTAGCTCATGTTGACACCATTGCACCGGCCTGAGCACAGCGCACTGCAAAGACACTATTGGCTTCACTGCTTTGGGGAGCACGCGGAGTGGCTGAGGATGCCTGTGGAGGAACTGAGGACTCCTGTCTCTACATAAGCGGTGGCCGAGAGAGAGACATGTTGGGACAGCGCCCTTCCAGCTGCCACAATACTCCCTGCACTGAGACAAGCGTCGCTAACTATGGCAATCGCTTGGAGGCTTCTCACGTGGACAGTCATCTTCACTGCAGCCCTCTGCAACTTTCTGGGTTACACTTTCCAGTCGCAAGGTAGGGGTTGCTGTGGGGAGGGGACTGGATCTACTTCCATCAGCTGGAGCAGAAAGCCCTAGTGCTGGCCCCAGGGGAGGCATTAGGGTGACGTGCTGGGGAGTGGGTGGAGGCACCCGTGACCTCTGCTCAGTGTGCTGCAGCAGAACGCCTACTGCTGAACTTGCAGGTGTTTTCCTTTGGCCTGTGAGGAAAGCATGTGCTTTGCTCTCAGACATTACGCTCCTTGAATTTTTGCAGGAGACCAAGCAGTAGGGTCTGTGTAAGATGAGAGCCATGTACAGGCTCAGGAGGCAGAAGGGCCTGTGGTAGCAATGGAGGAGGCTCCCGTTCCAGGCATCTGGAGCAGTGCACCTTTGCATGAGCAGAGACTTTGCTGTGCGTAAGAGGTCGGTGTGTGCTTGCAAGTGGTCCCCTGCATGTGCAGGGACAGAGGTCTCTGCTGGAGGTAGAAACATTGGACACAGCTATGGGCCTGGACAGGTACTTGCTGCTGGAGGAGTAGTTTGAGTTTGTGCACACGTATTTCTGTAAGTGATACTGTTAGCAAACATTCAAATCTGTTCTGGCATAAATGTTTTATACCTGTCTTACCTCTGCATCTTTCTGTTGGGTCTGTGTTTAAACACAGATAGCTCGTGTTTTAACACAGATTTTAACACAAGTTTTTAATACAGATAACACAAGTTATCACAAGGAAAGCGGAATATGGTTCTCCTGCATGTTGGTAGCTTTAATTAAAGTGTAATTAAATTGCTTAATACTAACAGTGTAATTAAATTGTTTAATACTAACTAGCTTTTGTAACCATTTCTGAAGAGACAATATGAACTACTACCATCAGGAGCTAGAGGTAAGAGGGAAAAGCAGAAAGAGCTGCAAAGTTAGACATTTATCCGTACAAGGTGTTAATACCTCAGCAATATCAATGCACAACCATAATTCTGAAATCCTGCGTGTGCCCAGGTTAACTGCAGCAGAGCCAGAGCCAGTGGTAGTCTGAGGCCGTTGCATAGTACAGTGTCATCAGGCTGTAGTTACAGTGGCTGTGGGTTGTCTTGTGAAGCCAAACTGGAAAGAGGAACAAAAGCAACCCAAAGCCACGTACTGTCCGGGTCTGAGCACCATCTTGTTGCTAAATCTGCAGCACTATCATATTGCAACTTGGTCTGGGTGAAATGAGAGGCAGTCAAACACAGAGCTGTGCGCTGTGCAGGCGCTGTGCAACGTGCAACATTACACAGGCAGATTTTCTTTAATCTGAAACAAACACGGTTTCTGGTCCTTCTAGCCAAAGCCTCTGGCAGTGCCTGTTGTGACTGTTCTGGGCCTCCTGCATCCATCAGTTCGCACCTCCCTCCATCTGCACTGCCGCGCTCACTGCGCTAGCGACGCTTTGACGAGGACTTAGCTGCCAGATCGCCTCCATCCTGACTCACAGCAGCTGAAATCCTCTTTCACTCACAAGTCCCTGAACTGTTTGTTAATACACCTCAGTCTGAACCCATGGGCTCACTGAAATGACACTTAATATGTCTGCGCTGTCCTAGATCCCAGACTGGGCAGTGGACAAGGCTCGGCCCCTGATGCCGCTGGGAGTGCAGTGCCATAGGGGAGGGCAGGCAGCAGTCAAGCCAAAGCTTGAATCACAGAATTGTAGGGATTGGAAAGGACCCCAAGAGATCATTGGGTCCAACCGCCACCCTGGTGAAGCCCAGCTACTGCCCAGCCCCATGGGCCAGGCTTCCCCATGGGCCCCTCTCGCTGTCAGAGAGCTTTTTTAGGCTCCCTGCATCCTGAACCATTGGTGTCAGGCTGCTAATGATACTCAGCACTTCTCTCTGTGCAGCTGAGGCAGTAAATACATAATCCTCACAACACCCTTTCAAGAGGGTGAAATAATGTTATCTTCTCATAGTAGTTGGAGGCACGGAGGATAAAAGCTTGTTTTCAACAAGCCACCGATTTTTGGCTAGAAAGAGTTGCCCAGGCAATCCATCGAGTTAGCAATGGAGCAGGATTCATGTCCCCCATGTGCAAACTCCAGCTCAGTGTATTTATTTTGTGCAGGAAAAAGATTAAGGTATTACAGTCATAAGCTGTAATTATGTATGTGGGAAACAGCAGCCCAATGTTGAAGGCCTCTCCGTGTCAGCAGAGATGTAACAAGATTCAGAAGTTAAACAACATCTTGTGTAAACTCAGGCTGTGGTTTTTAACAGCACAGAGAATTGCAGCTGAAACAATTGAGCAAGGATTCAGCACATACCTGCTGTTGCTGAATGGTATTTAATCAAAAGGAAATTTTCTTCTAGTGCCTTAGTTTAATCTTAGTGATAGATTATACATTCTCTGTTTTGTAGAACATTAAATGAGGCTAATGTCACTGCTCCTGACTCACTTACGAATCAATGCACCCATGGAAGATGTGTCAAGGCTGCCACAGTGCCAGGGCAGCTTGAAGCCACCGGGTCCCATAGTGTTTTCCCCAGCCATCCTCTGTGAATTGTCTGAGCTGCAGCTGGGGCTCCTCTGACAAGACAAGAGCAAACATCTGCTTCCTTTTCATCCTTTAAGTGGCTCTGTAATGACAGAGGCAGTGATGAGAATGTACAAGGAGGGAACAAGATCCTCCCTCCTTGGCCTTCACCTTCCTTCTCTTCTTTTTGTTCAGCTTATCCCCTACCATCTCCGGACTCTTGCTTCCTTTTCTGCCTGCCCTTCCCTTCTGTGCTGTTCTTGCCCCTATAGATGTATGCTCCCTTTCCATTAGGAGGTGGTGCAGCGAGGTGCCTTTCATTCCCCTTCTTCCCCCCCAAAAAAAGTTTCAGCTTCCCAGCTCTCTCCCTTGCTCCCTGGGTGCCCAGCTCTGGGCAGCTTTTCCTGCAGAAAGGCTTTTTATAGTATCTCTTTGAAGCAGTGCGACAGCTATCTGGAAACACCAGGCTGCTTATCACCAGTGCAAACCCATCTAATAGAGTGGATGCAACACGACACATTTCAAGCCAAGATCTATTATTACAGTATGGAGTGGCTGAGGGGGCAGAGGGAACGTGATGGCTTTTCTGGGTGGAAGGAAGGGCAAAATAGTGCCGTTACTGATGTTGGGAGCTCCTAGTGTGATCCGTAGTATGGGGGAGTGGCATGACCAAGGCAGGGATGAGTAAATGAGGGAGTTAGGGAACATCTGTGATGCTGTTGGATGGACATGAAATGCGTACACAAGCTTAGGGAGTAAAGAGATACTAATCTCTTAGAGCCTTGTCTAATCTTACTTTTTTTAGAGGAGAGGAAGGAGCCAGATGTAATGCTGGATGAAGACACTGTCTTCTTCCTTGTGTTAAAAGTTTATCTTCCTTATTTTTGGCATCCCTACTCTAAAGGATCCATTCATAAAACATTTGTGTGATGCAAGGCACTACTCTCAGCTTGCTCTTCCTGTGCCTCGGTTTCCAGGGTGACATCCCTGAGGATGCACAGCGGCCTGCACTGCAGCAAGAGCAGGCTCTCACACACAGCCTGACCCCAGGCCCTGGACACTCTTCCCTCCTGGATGTATCTTGCAGGTCAAGATCAGAGACTGCCGCCCAGGGTCCCAGGCCCTCTTCTAGATGCTGGGTGCACAAACCTCCTTCCAAGTCACTATTTTGCAGCCCACATGAACTGCAGAAAGGAAAAAAGAAAAACAAAACACTTCTGATAGCAATTTTTTCCAAGCCTGAAGTCATTGCTTAAGTGCAAGTAGTCACACTTGTTTGCCCTGCTGCATCACACATGAGGCAGTGTGATGCAGGGGAAGCTGGAGCACAGGAAGTTAAAAAAAATAATAATTACTTCTGGCTCGTTGAGCCAAGGGAGAGGTGCCAGAAGTGCTTATGGTTTGGAAGGTTGGGAGCTAACCCCTAAACCCAGCTGGTGGGAAGGACTGTCCCATTAGTCGTGGCCAAGGAAACCACTCGGTCAAACTCCCACACTGGAAAACACACTAGAGGAAAAGGAAACTTTCCAGTGCTGCCATGTGGTGAGAGTATAATTTGGAGTCCAAATTTGTGATGGCTGGGAAGGCTTTGAAGATGGGTGCTGTGGAGCCAGGCAAAAAGCAGCCACCCTGGAGCAGCCTGGCCTCTCCTGTTTGCTTAGGAAACAGCTACGCATAGGATGCAGGAAGCACAGCAACATTCTTCCAGCATGAAGAGGGTAAATCCTCTCCAACTCCATGAGCAAACCTCCAGCCATTGGGGTTAAGAAGAAAACAATATGATGGGGGGAGCTGTCCTGTCCGCTGTATTTTATTTTTTTTTCATCTTCTGCTAAAACCTCCAGTACTGAGGCACACAGAGACGGCTAGACCACTGATCAGATCCACTCTGACAATCCCTGTGACATTTTGCTTATAAAACATGAGATTTCTGTAGAGGTTGCAGAGTGCCAATTTCTTTGACAGCCAAAAGCGTTGTGTTGCTTTGCGAGCACAGTCAGACGTTTTGGACAGTGACCTTGTCAGAGTACATTTCCTAAGTGGTATGAGACAGCCTCAAAAGCTCAAGTGCCCCAAGAGGAGGTGCTAAGCCAAACCAATAGTATAAAGAGCACCAGGCTGGTGAGCTGGGAAGGCAGGGTGGGGCAATAGACAGATGCCTGGCTGGTGAGTTGGGATGTCTGACTCCTTCTCTTGCTACCTTTTTAGCACAGCTGGGGAATTCTGGTTACCTTTTTGTTACTTTGATTGCAAAGACATTGTCTTGCTGCCTCTTTAAAGGACGTCTCATACCTAAGACATTAATAAATGCACGATCCAAGAGGCTAGTGTAGGGTTGATATTATGTAAGTTATCAAAATGCAGGGTAAACAGGTCCATGTGGCAGTTGCAGATACTCTAAAGAACCCCACAATTTCTTAGCAAGACTGTCATCTCCTGAGAAATTGTCCCTTCTGTGTTCAGGTATGCGTTAAGTTACTTTAAGTTAACTTAGTGTTAGCTTTGTTACTGAACGTATCCAGTCAGAAATAACCCTCCAAACCACAGAGCATGGCTCTGTACAGGCTGGAGTCCCTCTGCCCACTGGAAATGGAGAGATGAGGGACAGTCCAGGTCTGGAGCCGGAATTTGTCTGTCCTGAACAGCCCCTTGGACCAGTCTGTTTCTCTTCATCACCAGAATATTAAGTTCTGTAGGCTGAAGGCCTTCAAGAATACCCCAAGGATCATGCAGCCTGAACAGAACAGGGAATACAGGTAGCATATCCTCACTGTGCAGTAGTTAGAGGCCCCTTGTCCTTCTGCCCATCTTCGCTTTCAGAGATGTCTGTTGCAAGCAGTCACAAGTGAGCTCGGTCAGTCTATCAGGCTGGCAGGAAGCCACCTGGCTAATCCAGGTCCACACAGGGCAGATGAGTGCTGGAGGGTTGCAGGGGGCTGAGCAGTGAGCTGGTGGCCTGCTGATGTGCATTTTGTTGGCAGCGTGAGCTGTGCGCTTACTCACAGAAGTGAGCTGGGAATGCTGGCAGCATGATGGCTGGGTTGCAGGATTCCCTGGGTCAAGATGCTGCCTGCCCTGCCCTGGCTGTCACTGTGCTGGTGCTCAGGCACAGCTGGCTCTGTGCTGAAGCTGCTGGTTGTTTTGCTCTGACTGTTTGCAGAATGTCACTCCTCCTGTGTTTGCTTTTCCTCCCCAGAGGAGTTCCTCTCCAGCCTCGATCACTATGAAATTGCGTTCCCCATACAAGTGGACCAAAACGGGGACTTCCTCACCTTTGACATGAGGAGCCAGCTGAAGCAACGCCCTCGGCGCAGTCTGGGCTCCTTGCCCTACGAGCCATCTGAGCAGCAGGTTTTCTACAAAGTCTCTGCCCATCGAACCCAGTTCCTTCTCAACCTGACACTGCACTCCAACCTGCTGGCTGAGCACTTCACTGTTGAATACTGGAAGAGAGATGGTGTGGACTGGCAACATGATTTCCACGAGGATTGCCACTATGCGGGCCACCTGCAGGATCAGTACCTGAACTCAAAGGTCGCCATCAGCAACTGCAACGGACTGGTGAGTTCCTGAATTTTGCACAGCCAAGGGCACTACTAACAACGAAAGCTGCCTATAAAGCAGAGCAGATTTCAGCTTCTTTGATCTGTGCCGTAGAAATGCAACCTGGTTTGGGTCCCAGCAGATGGATCCGCAGTGGTGGGAAAGGCCTGTTGGTGTCAAACTAGAATATTGCACAGTGACATCAAAAGTCAGCTGAGGGTGAAGGCCATGTCCCCTCATTACATTTATAGGAGTTCCTGATCCATGTTGGGACTGTAGTCCAGTTTCTACCAAAGTCAGTGAGAGTTTTTCCATTGATTTTAACTGGAATGGGATAATCCAGGCTCTAGACCATTACTCCAGCTCTTACAGAACTCTCCAGTCCACTTCCAACAGCAACAGCAAAAGATATAAAACATATCGTATGTGTTAGTGAGGAAGAAGCACAGGAGGGCAGAAATTTCACTGCATGACCAAAAATGTCAAAAGTGCATTCAGATCCTTGTAACTGCAGATACATTCCTGGGGTTCCTAGTCACTTCTGTCCAGATTCCAGGAGCTGAAAACATGTTTTCTGGGGAAAAACTAAGCTAGTCAGTGTTTTTCAGTATGAAAAAGAGAACATCAGGAGGGGACAAGATGGCATTCGTCAGAACTAGCAAGGCTGCTGCAGAGAGGGAGGAAATTATCTGTTCTGCATGTTCCCAACAGCTAGGACTAGACATCATGGTCTTAAATATCAGCAGAAAAGCTCAACGGTAGACATTAGTGCTAAGGATAGCTGCAACTAGGTTGCTTGAAGAGTGCATGGCCCCCAGCATCGTTGGAGATCTTTGAGAGTAGGCCAGACAAATACCTCTCAAAAATACTCCAGGTATGATTCATTAGCTCTTTCAGCACTGGGAATAGGTTAAGGACTTCCATCCTTATTTTTCTGTGATTTTCTGATATTTCTGGCTCACAAAGAGCATTTCAAGACCTGCCAGATGGAGGGATGGAGCAAACATACCCCGTTAGTGAATCCCAAGGATGATGGCTCTCTTGGAGGAGTAACATGTAGAAAAAGACTCTGTAGGCCAAATTTGTATTTATGCTACAGCCCCACCTCTTAGCAGTGTGGAAGAGCTTCCAAACAGGAATAAATTCACATTGATTTATTGTTATATTACATTGCCAGAACAGTGCTGTGGGTTATTAACAGAAATGAGAATCTGACTCATTATATCAGAGAGTCTAATGTTTCCATCTCACAGCCAAAACTCAGAGCTGCATAAAGTCTTGGTTCTGAAGTTAGCCTTTTGTTTAGATTTAGGACCTCTGCTGAAGTCCTGGATGATTTATTGATGTTCAGAAAAGAAGAGCTGAAGGGTGAGCTGGACACTGCTGGTCCAGAAAGGATAGCCAGCTTTGGCCTACCTCATGCTTCAGAGGGCACCAAGTCCAGGGCAAGCAATGACCTGGCAGCACTTGCACTGGGATATTTTAGTCCACAGACTGTTTTGCTCTGGAGAGATACCAGGGGTTGTCTGGAGGAAAAAGCAGCCAGGCGCAAAGAGATACAGGGGGTCATCCAGCAACCTCTCCTTTTCCTGAACTCTGTCCTCTTGCTGTGGCGAGCTACAGGAATCAGCAAGGAGGGGGGTCTTCAGGCTTAGTGAGGACAACAGGCTCAGGAATTTGGCCAAGGTGAGGCTGGAGTTGGCGGTGGGGTCTGTACCTGCCCCCTGAGCAGACCTGTGCAGAGCTCTGGCTGATTATAAGCAGATGAGCCCTCCTGGCTCCACTCCTGCCATCCTCCAGCCTGCGCCCCTTCAGGCAGGCACCAGGTCTGCTTAGCAGGGGACAGGCTCAGGGGACGTGAGGTCAGGTACGTGCTGACACCTGTCAGCAGGGGACTGGACACTGCAACCCACATCTGCACAGACTAACTCCAGATGATGCAAAGGGGGCTGCGTAATGTGGTGTTACATGGACGCAGGCTGGGGCCAGTGCTGGTTATGGGGTGACCTGGAGGAGAGGGAAGGGGAAGACTCCAGAGAAGTGTCAAACACAAAGGCACGAGAACGGGTAACACGCCTCAAGCTATCCTCCTTCCCTTCTACTCCCCACATCCCTTTACAATTTCTGCATCTGCAAGGCATATCTCTGCAAACCACTTTGTTTTCAAACGCAACGCACCTTAGGACACACCAGCTTTAGGCTGCCGATACCTGGCCACGCGCTGTCAGACATCGCCCACCCTCCACGTCTGCTGCACAGCTGGCCTGGCACGCAGCCGGCAGCAACCCACGCGGCTGCACTTCAGCTTGAGCAGGATAGAAGTCACCCAGGCTTAGCTTGTCGGAAGCGAAGGGCAAAATGGCCCATTTTCCAAAACATGCGGAGCTGCGAGCTGCCAGCAGGGCCCAACATGAAGCAGCTGGAGCCTGCAGGAGCAGCCTGAGAAGCTCTTGCCTGGCCAGGAGCTGGAAGCCCTTAGTTAAGCAGAGCTGTGTTTCAGCCCACTGGCTGCACAAGAGGCCGAGGACTCGTGTCCTCCCATCAACAAAATTGCAGCTAGGCATAAACAGCCTTAGGAGAGAAATGTCCCTGTCTTACCTCTTGCGTCAGAGCTCATCAAAGGCCGCTTTAAAGGCTGGGTTTTCAGCCCTTTGTGTCTATGCTGAAACTCTGCTTTCGTCTGAATTGCCCTCCTGAAATCAGCGGGAACATGAGATGTTTGGAGCTCGGCAGATGGCCCCACTGCTGAGGCTGACGTCAAGCTGTTAAAGTGTGTAAGAGGAGGTGGAAGAGCTGAGCTGCAGTATGAAGCTGTGTCTTTCCTAAGTGTGGTTATAAGTTAATAGGATAAACCATCCTTGCTCTGCAGATGACCTGGGTGAATCACAGACAGGATATCCAGCTTAGCTCCCCCACAAACCACAGAGATCTCTCTCAGGGCTTCTTGCCGCCCCCTTTCAATACGCATGTGTCACGTCCACCACCCAGACCTCAGCGCTTGGGTTTTGGGCTCAGTGGTGGGGGAGTTTTCAGACTCCTGTGACGGCAGAGCTTCGTTCCCACAGGATATCAGGCAGGTTGTGGAGCCTCCTGCCTCTCGTGTGCTCCTCAGAGGCTCCAGGTTTGAGCTGGGAAGGGCCCTTTCTAGAAGTGTATGGTTTTCAGGCAGGACGTGCTTTCCCCTCCTGCTACTCTGCCCCAAGCCGGCGGTGACCTCCTTCTCCCCGTCCCGCAAAGCCGGCAGCCAGCTGGCTTCGCAGGCCGACACTCGGCTTTCCGCCGGAGCCCTCGCCAGGCTAACCTCACAGTACCTCGCTTGTGTTTGAAAAGGTGGAGCGGAGCCAAGAGCAACAGAGCCTGGTGCAGGAGGAAATCCCCCGGCACTCTGGAGATGGGGACTTCGCTGCGTGCACACTGCCCCGATTCAGCTTTTGTAGCGGGGAGGGAGGTGGGGAGAGACCTCTTACGGAGGCAGCATCCACCCCAGAGAGGCTCTCCCCTGCTTGCCCAGCAGTAACACTGTTACATAGATGGTTCCTTCCACACAAGGACCTCAAGATGTTTTACAGAGACCTGCTTCCCCGTGCCCCTCCCTGGTAGATCAGGGCTCTTGTTGCTGTTGTGTAGAAAGGCTGCGACATCCAATGGGCAGCATCAGTGCAGAGTGGACGACAGGATCGGGGGGGCTCTCCACCCAGACCTATGCTTGCGCACAAGAAGCGGGAGGACAGCCAGGTGATGTGAGTCTCAGACCTTTGGGATCCTTCTTGGCCTGCCTGAGCAAAGTCAGGCAGTTTCTGTGTCTCAGTTGCTCACTGGTGAAGTTCAGCTGATAGAATCGTCTTGGTTCTTGGTATCTAGAACACACCTTTTACCCAGAGGCAAAGCTTGCTGCCAGGATAGGAAAGGATAGGACCAGCCACAAAGGAGACGTGTTGCAAGCAGCTGGTGAATTGGACTGCTCATCCTGCTATTTCCCTCTCCTGCCAACCGTCATGGTCTCACGAGGAGGTGCATTTGCACAGGGCAAAGTCTGGGCTTGCAGCCCAGATTCTTTTGGTCACAGAATAAAACAAGGGAGAACAACAACAAAATATGTGAATAGCTAAATCAACAAAATGGGAGCAGAAACAAGATCATCTGGTTGAAATGGCTAGTTGGGGTGTAAAAAGGGCAGTGCTGGTTGAGAAGAACAAACCAGATTTTAGGCTGCAGAGAAAGGTTCTGACCCTGAAAATGAGATTTTAGGTCGTGAGGATTTGATACATTTCTCAAAAGCCTCTGAACATTTGCAGTCCTCTGCAGCTCTATGCCTCAGTTTCTTAGCTGGTGGTAAAGCTCCTGAGCTGCTTCCAAGGGCTCTTTGGTGAGGTTGAAAAGCACAGGAGGTAGATCTGAATGCTAAGTTATGCTGATATTTAAAGATACGATACTTAGGATCCCACAGACAGCTCTCAGTTAGATCAAGGCGTGTCATGGAATAGGAAACAACTTAATTTTGCAAGGAAAGACTGTGATTTTCAGAGGACTCTAATGAGCAGAGAAGCCTCACGGCATCCATGGGCAGCTGGCTCAGTTTGCTCTGGTCCATAGCTTCATATGATTCAGTGTTTGTGTATAAAGGAAGGATTCCTGCACACGCTCTAAGCTGTTTGTCAGTCCCCAGAAATACAGTGGCTAACCATCAGAAATTTCATTTTCAGAAAATAGCAGTATGTCTCCCATTTCTCTCCCTGCTTGTTTTATTCTTTTCCTTCTCTTTCCTTTCACAGCATGGGGTGATAGTCGCAGATGAGGAAGAATATTTCATTGAACCGCTGAGCCCGGGAGCCAACGTCAGCACAGGGAATGAGGGCAAGGGCAGCCCCCACGTTGTGTACAAGCGATCGTCTCTCCAGTACCCACACATGGATGCAGCCTGCGGCGTGCTAGGTATCTGTGCCCACCAACACATCTTCATTCCATCCCAGTGCAGGCCGGGAAAGTTCCAATAGATGGGACTGTGAAAGTCCATACTGCCCTCTATGGCAAAAAAAAAAAAAATCTTCTCTTGCATTTAAGAAAGTTTTATTTATGTATTTACTTCTGCCCACGCAAAGCATTTCTGGTGGCCTGGTCTTTGGAAAGCTCTTATACTCTCTTCTTCACAGCAGGGCCTTTAGATTTGTAACTAGAGGGTGGAATAGAGAAAAAATTCTCTCTTATTGTTCTGACAAAAATCCTCCCGGTTTTGGCCAATTTCAAAGGTATTGAGAAATCATAGTTCACGCATGCTCAGCTTCTTTCCCACACGCCTGTGCCCTTCTTGTCCTTGCCAGAAATCTGTCTGTGTCCCGGAGCCTGGGTGAAATCGCTGGCCCCTGTGAATGTACGAAGTTTCTCTGTCTATCCAAATGTTGCGTGTATACACGATGCTGTTCCCTCGGTTTACAGAGGCATCCCCTGGCTCTGCACATGGGTCAGCTAGCTTTTTACAGGGTTAGAGTACAAGACTGCAGAACCAGGGCTGTTCCCAGTTGCTCGTAGCAGGTTTGTGTGTCCCCTGAGTTGTTCATCCAGTGTCCCGGTGCTGATGCTTGACCAGATGAGGAATCACTGCTGGAAGGGATGCAAACAGCAGGGCACCACCAGCTTGCTCTCAGCAGAGCAGCAAGCAGTGTCCCCAGATGTGCCAGTGTGTCTGGAGACAACCTGAGCTTCCCTGACCCAGCTCTTCCTGTCCCAGCTCCCAGTTACACTGTGCCAACAGACTCCCCTTCTCCCGACTGCCACATCCTCCAGCTTCCAGACAAAAGTCAGCCTGTTTCCAGTTGCTTCTTGGAAAGGAAAGACCGTGCAATAGGAGCCACAGGCTAGGTACGGTCCTCTGACAAGCACAGCGCAACTGAACCCAGCAAGGACACCTGTTCCCTCGCCCCATGGGTTGGACCAGTCACAACCAGCTCAGTGCACACCACAGGTTCTTTCCGATCATCCCAAAGGGCTGGAGCTGTGATGTGTCCATCTTCCCAGTCTCACTGGGTATCTGATCAGCATCAGAGCAGAGAATGCTGATTCAGCCTCCCCACAGGGCAGCAGCAGTTGTTGTAACCTTCCCAGACACCTCTCCTGCCCTACAGCAGGAACCAGGCCATGGGGCCAGAGCTGTTGGCCCTGCTGGGAACATCTCTACAGTCAGTTTGGTAGCACTTGAAGCCTGGAGTGAAGTCCTACAAGCCTGCTGCTGCTTTGAAGGTTGCAGCTGTGTCTGTGGAGGAAAAGCCAAGTCCTAAATTCAGGTTCTGGCAGGAAAAGGAAAGAGGAAATGATCTGCAATGGCTTTATTGTCAGATTATGTCTGTGTAGTATCTAAATCCACAGGTTCTTCCCTATGAACGAGTTGAGGACAGGGCCCTGCAGTGCAGAGGCAGCAAAGCACATGGTGGAGGTGGTGGTGCTGGCCTGCAGCAGCAGGATGGGCACACACTTTCCCATGTGGCACACAGGCAGCAGGATACCAGTGGGCATGGCCCTAGTCTGCAGTAGGAAGTGCTCATCAAACTGGGACCAGGACTGGGTGTGTTTGCTGGGTCTAATGTGTATATTAATAATAATTATAAGCTATAATAAGCCTTGCAATGCCTTTCCTTCTCAGCACTGAAACTGAGCTTAATAGTGTCCACCTCTCACCTCTGTATGCTGCTGAAACACTGCTGGAAGGTAACAGAAAAATCTCTTTCCATCCTCAGATGAGAAGCCCTGGAAAGGGAGGCACTGGTGGCTGCGGACACTGAAGCCCTCCCCGCTGAAGCCATCAGGCAACCACAGCCAGCGAGGCCAGCTGCCCCTGAAGAGATCCGTCAGCACGGAGCGCTACGTGGAGACCCTGGTGGTGGCTGACAAAATGATGGTGGGGTACCACGGCCGGCGGGACATAGAGCAGTACATCCTGGCCATCATGAATATTGTAAGTGTTATAACCACATCATGAACCTTGAGAGAGCTCAGGGGCTCATATACCCATCAGCACAGAGCAATTTGGAATAAATCCTGTTCTGAACCCCAAATGTCTTGGTTTGGCAAAGGGTACCACATGCTTTTCCCGCAAGACAACAAGTAGGATGAAGGGAGCACAGGTGTGGAAATAAGATCTACCTGTTTCAGGATTGCAGTGGCTTCCTCCTGGGCAGCAAGTCCTGACATGCTGCCACTGCTCCAGAGCAGTGATTCTCCAAAGCTTACAGGGACTCTGTTGTACAGGGGGAGGCACCTCAGGAGTGGTAAACTCTGGCCTGTCTGACCATGCTACAAGCCAGATCTGGACTGGGAGAACAAAGCCCTTTCTTTGAACAGCATCTCTCATCTCAAATTAGCATTGCAAATGGGGCCAGCCAAACTGAGAAACATGGGAAAGCATAAGGACAGTCAGCTCTCACGCTTGGGGTCTGATCAGCATGAAGGGTAAGGAGAAATACCCCCTGTTCTTCCATACAGCGCTGCCTGTGTCTCTGGGTTACTGCAGAGGAGCTTCCTCTGCAGCATCACGTTTGGGTCATTGCTGGCAACAGGATACCAGGCTAGATGCATTAACAGCCTGAATAATGTCATGCTGTGAGTCCTCCTGTGAGGTGAGATAGGCTTAGAGGTTATCCATCAAACCTATGAAAGCTCCTCTGTGATGGTTCTTTGTCCTGTCCTCTGCAGGATCTCTTTTCATGGCTTCCTCAGTTTGCATTTCTAAAGCAGATGCCAGATTTTAAAACAATACAGTTTCTAACTGTTTCATCTGCTGTAAAACACCCACCGTGTGCTGTCTGGTTCCCTGCTGATGGGCAATCAGCAAAGCTTCATCCCCATGCCTGCATAATACCAGAACCACAGGGCTTCCTCACCTGAGCTATGGACAAGGAGCAGGTGCTGCGGGTTCCCACCTTCATTGTTGCAGGCTTCCCAGAAGGAGACATCACGGTCTGAACATGGTTTAGAAAGTTTTGCTGTTCAAATAGTAACATGGTATCTCATTCTGTTTCTACTTCCTAGAAGGGATTGTGTTTAGACCTACGACTCATGCAGATGATCGGCGCTGTTTGCCTCTGGCGGGTGCTCAACGTGTGCCTGCTCACAGCTGACTGCACCGCCACTCAGCTAGTGAGCTCATTTTTAAGACTCGTCTTTTCTTGTTTCTTGGAGGTCAGGTTGCCAAACTTTTCCAGGACTCGAGTCTGGGCAATATTGTCAATATCCTGGTGACCCGGCTGATTCTCCTCACTGAGGATCAGGTAAGGTGGGCTTTGCCAAGCTGCTTCCATCATGCTGCTGCACTCCCTTTGCAGGACTATGTGTTCTTTCTGGATGGCACCCCCAGGAGGTCCCCCAAGTGCAGTCTGCTGGGTACACCATACCCTCCCAAAGGCAGCTGGGGCCTGGTTTCAGACTTCGGGGTTGGGAACCTCTGAGTGTCTGAGGGCTGGTTTTATGATAAGGTGGCTTTAGGGAGGTTTAAGGAGCTTTAGTCCCCCCTAAAGTCTTGCTTCCTCATGGCCTCTGTTAAAGGCTGAGGGCATCTGGGCTGATTTCAGTGCTGTGCTGACATGGAAGTCATCAGTGCCTTCATATCAGAGCTTCTCTGGGAACATGCTGTTGTATTGCTTCCATTCCAGCCCACACTGGAGATTAACCACCATGCTGGAAAATCCCTGGACAGCTTCTGCAAGTGGCAGAAATCCATTGTGAACAGGAATGGCAACGGGAATGCTATCCCTGAGAATGGCATAGCCAACCACGACACTGCAGTGCTGATCACCAGGTAAGTCTGATCCCAGCCTTGGCAGTGCTCATGGGGGGTGTCTTCTGTACAGCTGGCTTCTGTCCAAGCAGTTCATCCAAAGTTTCCCTCTCATATACTCGCCCACAAGCTGGCCTGGCAGTGGCTGTTCCTCAGACCGGCCATGCGCCAGTTCCCTTGCAGCAATACAGATTGCTGCAGTTCAGATAACTATCCTCCTCCTCCTTTGTCTTCCCTCCATCTTCCTTGTGCTCTCAAGGAGCTTAGTTTGCAGCCACAGGTATTTGTGCACCAGCAAATCCATGGAGCACAATCTACAGCAGTGTTTGGTGTGCGTGGGAACCCACCCCAGAGCCTTTGGACATCAAGCATCCTACTAAGACAGAGAGCCTGATCTGCCTCCACTGTGATGAATGGAGAAGAGGATATAAGTGAGACCTGAGCATCACAACAATGATGGAATATCTGCAGCCAGTACTGGATCTGCCTCACCACATTTTAGGTGCCTATGTGTAGGGCTGAGCTCTCTCCTTGGTAGCTGATAGATCACTGTTGAAGTGACTTAATCCCATCTTCCTTGGGAGAAGAGCAGTCTTGTCCTGGAGACTCTTGTCTCTCTCCACTCCTGTACCAACAGTCTAGGGCAGCAGGTTAAGCTGGCTGTTGGATTAGACCTCCTGAGCTGGATGAAGGCATCTGAAACTGCACATGCAGGACAAATAATTCCTGTCAGAATAGATAGATGCTTCAGTCTGGAACAGCAGAGGGTGCAGAGGGATGGCTGGAAGGGCAGAGGATGATGAAGAGAAAGCTGGAAGGATGAAGCACATAGAGGGGATGGCTGGGAGGATGGAAGGTGCCAGGAAGCCAGCTCTCAGCACCTGGACACCAGCTGCACCCTGGGTACCAGAGACAGTGGCCACATAAATGCTGCTTGGGCAGAGGGGCAGCAGCCTGAGGAAGAACCCCAGAGGCAAGATTTGGTTGCACTATCGTTTTCTTCTCAAAGTAATGAAGGAAAACCATACAATGGAAGTGCTGAAGAGGGGAGCCTCCAAGCAGCAGCTGTTTTTGCTGCTGGTGCTATGCTCACACTCTGGTTCCCAGTGGCAGCAGGAGCTGCGTGCGTCCCAGGGAGCCCTTGAGAGCCTTGCAGCACCAGGGGGGAGCATACGAAGGGCCTCCTTGGCCCCATCCTCACCCTCCCAGGGCTGCAGCCTCTGCTTTTCCTCCACACGTGCAGGACGCGAACGCCGACTCCGAATTCTTCAGCCTTGCACCAGATGTTCGAGCTAACCCTCAGCAACTCGCCGCCTGGCTGCTTGGACAACACCAGCACATCCGGCCCCATCACTAATAAATTCCTGTCTCCTGATAACATCTTGCTGAGCTGCGGGCTTTTTTCTCTTGCGGAGACGTGTCAAATCAGAGCCTCGGAAGGCTTTCACGTATCCGCCTGAAAGAAAGCAACAAATGTTTTTCACTCACTCAGTTTCCTGCTGGGGTGAAAGGTTTGGACACTTCCAGAGAGCACCAAGGACCAAAGGGACATGAGCCATCATCAGGAACATGTTGCACTTAACATGTCATGTGCTGTCAGCTTGCTTCTTGCCTGCTTTTGGCCCTGTGGGTCCACAGGGGTGAGTGGTGTCAGAAGGTCCTGCTGCTCCTGCAGGAGTTCCCCAGGCCCACACCACCATCAGCAGCCTTGCTGTCCCAAGCCCAGCTCGTGCTCAGGTTGAAATGCACCTCAGTGGTCAAGGAGCAATGCCAGCAACCCAAGCTGCTGCCACAGGCCCCCCTGCCTGCTGACTCCATGTGGATTTGAGCGTAACGTTGCCTCTTTCAACCAAGGCTTTACAAAGACCCAAATGTTTGAGTCTGAGGACAGTGCAGGACGTGGAGAAGGTATGTAAACAAAGGCAGGGAGAGCATGCAGCTCATCTCCACAGTTAAATAATGATATTCACCCTCTGGCTCAAACGGGTATCTTCTGAAGATGCTGCCAGTGTCCTTTTGCAAGGGTACTGCATTTTGGTTTGGAAGAGGTTTTACTTTGCTGTCCTCATTTAGCTTTTCCTTGTAGGCAGCTAATGATGTGCAAACAGTCAATTCCTTGATGCAATGGCTAGAAGTGGAGGCCAGGGACAGAGGGAAGAGTCATCTTGAATCAAGCCATATTGAATTTGTTTGGAAAATTATCAGTGAAGATCTAAACTGAAAAAAAAATGTAAAAAATCACTTTAGCATTTTAATGAAACTAAAGTGAATTGTGAAATGAAACATTTTCAAATTGAATTTTTTCTTGTTTTAAAAAATAAAATCAAAACTACATATTTGATTGATACAATTTACTGCAACAGACCTAAGTCTACAGACATGAGGCTGACCCTGTCCACATCATCTGGGGCAGTTCAGTGAGCCTGATGCCTATCTGAAGAGAAGTGGCTGGCTCACAGGAGTGTGCTGGATGCTCGTGAGCAGTGCTGGACCATCCAGCCAAACCCACAGAGCTTCAAGGCTGGAATGGTGTTGTCCCTGCTGGCTCACTGCGTTTCATCAAAAACGAACCTCTGACCCCATCCAGCGCGGCTCTGTAGTTAAGTGACGAATACGCAGGATCCTTAAAAAAACACAGTGCGTCTCAGCCTGGGGAAAGTGAGCATTGCAAAATATGGATCAGAGGCATCTCTTACCTGTTACAGTCTGTACTTTCTATTCCAGAAGCGTTATGTGAGCCATGTCTGCTGATTTGTATGTGAAAGCAATAGTAAAACTGAGATGTGTCTGCGAAAGATTTTGGGGTCGCCAAAACTGTATATGCTCTTAATGCTGCCTTCTCCTTCTCTTTGCAGATACGACATTTGCATCTACAAGAATAAGCCCTGCGGCACCCTGGGTAGGTAGCGTTTTGCTGTCAGACTCTCATGCAGTGACGAGGGCTGTCCCTTCGGCAGCACTTCTCACCAGCATGTATATCTTCAGGAGTGTGGTGAGGGAGGGCTGTGCCACCCACATTTTCTAATGAGCAGGAGAAGGGGAAGCACTCGCCCAATGCTACCACAAGTGCCAGCAGCAGACTAAGGAACAGGAACACAGTTTCCAGCCTGCTAGGACATGTAGCCTTCTCTCTTCTGTAAACACTAAAAGCAGCAACCCGGAGAACGGATGGGCTCTGGAACGCTTCTCCATTATATCCCTGGGTCAGGTCCAGCCTGATGATTAAGAGCCACTCGCATCTAGGGCTGGTCCATAGCCTAGTGGAGTATTCCTGGCTTAGCAGAGAGAAATAAGACTTCTTTGTGATGACTATAAAGGGAGTTCTTTATTTAAGCTGCTAGACACAGACAGACCCTGCAGCTCTCTCTGGCTGTAGCTCCTAATTTGTCTTGCCCTGGTCTAGACTAAGCAGTCAGGGAGGGATTATTGCTGTGAATCACTGCAGTTAAAAAGGGAAAGTCGGTGGATCTCTGACCTGGTGCGGCTGTGGTACCTGGGAGAGGTGGAGGCTGGAGGGGCTGTGACAGCTCAACCCATTCCTGTAATGGAGACTGTCTCTTCCCCAGCCCTGAGCAGTGGGGCGCAGCCTGTGGTAGTGGGACAGGGTATGGGCAGGGGCTCAGGGGAATCCACTGCCACAATCCCAACCCTCCTTGTCCAGCCCTCCAGGTGGAGTTAAGGTGGATTTCTGATTGTGGTGGGTGTCAGCCACAACTAAATGCAGATGCTCAGGCTGGATCCCAGGTTACGCAGTTGTCCAGGCTTCCCTGACAGGGTTTGGATGCCCAAGTGCTGGTGTGGCTGATCCCAGGTTCCTGGCAAAACTGTCCCCTGTTCCCCCACCAACAGTGCTGGTTCTGTGACAAGGACTGCTCTTCCGCTGCACACAGACAGAGGTTTGGATATGAAATTCAGTGGGTTTTGACCCATCTTTAGCATTTTGGAGCCTGTTGTCAGAACTATTGTCAGTGCTGAGTGACCATGTACCCACAGTCCATAATACCCATGGCTTCATCCCAAAGACCAGTGAAACCAGTATGAAGAAACTTGTTAGGCTGTGTTTGGTGTTAGTGAGCATGAAGTGCATCATTTAGTCCCCCAGTGCGACAGATACTTTGTGCTGGCCCTATGGAACTTTTCCATCTGGCTTTCCTAGGCCTGGCCCCTGTGGGTGGGATGTGCGAACGAGAACGAAGCTGCAGCATCAATGAGGACATTGGGCTGGCCACAGCCTTCACCATTGCCCACGAGATTGGCCACACGTGAGTACCGTGCCGGAAGAGTCCCTGAGGGTGGCCGTCATGGAGAAAGGTTCCTGTTGGTCTGTTCCTGCCATGAAGAGTTGTAAAATCCTCCTTGTGGATGATCCTGATGTGTTGAAAACGCAGTAACTTATCATCTCTCTAATGCCTTGGTGATGCTTTCTAGGTTTGGCATGAATCATGATGGGGTCGGCAACAGCTGTGGCTCCCGAGGGCAAGAAACAGCCAAACTGATGGCTGCTCACATCACCATGAAGACCAACCCATTTGTATGGTCTACGTGCAGCAGGGATTATATCACCAGCTTCCTGGAGTAAGGAATCCATCTCACCTTGCCCTTCCTTCCACCTCACAACCAGTACACATCTCCAGCCTTTCACTGTCCCTTGTGAGGAGTGGGTAAAGCAAAAGAAAAGCCCCCAAAGCACACAGCCCATGCACCTTCTGTCTTGTCTCCCCATCCCGTCCCAAGAGGCATGTGCTTTCTTTCCTTCCCTTAGACTTTTCTGCTAACAATACTAACGCTATTTACAGTGCAGCTGTGAGACCTTTATTTAGGTTCCCTACTTCCAGAAACTTTACAAATAAATCAGTAGCTTCTGGAGGCATTTGGACATTTCTGAAGTTCAGCCAGAAATCACAGGGAAGGTGGGGAAGGAGGATCTGGAGACAGGACTGGTTCTGCAATGTGTGTGCAGCTTCTCCAGACATTGAGGAGGAGAGTTTCAAGGTGAATAAGGCACTTAAGATTTTTTTTTATTTTTTCCAAAGCACATTCAGGATTCAGGAGAAGGAATTTAGGCTCCTAAGTCCCAAGGTTGTGATGTTGCCACAGCCCCCAGGGTTTCCATCAAAAAACAAGCAGTCAGGGTCAGTTTTGCTGAGGTTTCTGGGAGGACACAGGCACTATGTAACAGAAGGACTAGACAGAACTTTCATTACAATTGGAAGAAGCCAGTGTGTAGGGTCATTGTGACAGGAGCAGACGCAGGGATGTCTGAATACCAAACCCTTATTGACACAGACCAAAGCTGAGACTGTTGCTGTTGTAACACGAGAGGGGCAACAATGGCAGACCTTCCCGAGGGGCTGCTTTATGCCCCTCTGTCCTGGAAGGCTTGGCCGGAGCAGTGCAGCTTATCACCAAATTCCACATCCAGCGGCTCATGTTTGGCTGCAGCAAAACCTGCCCTCCTCGCCTTTGACCCCTGGATGCGCGGCCAGGCGTGTTGCACGGAGAGCGCCGGGAAAGCATCGTGGCTGAGGCTGTTGTCCTTGGGTAACCCTGAGGTCTCGGCGGGGCCACCAGCGGACGGCAAGTTCATGGCGGCCTCCTCTGCAGTTCACTCTCACCGCCCCCGCGCAACAGCATGGCCCGGGGAGTCTCCTCCGTGCCTGGGCCGTGGTGTGTGCGAGACCCTGGGACTTGGGGCCGGGGGAGTGGTGACGGGGGCCGTGATTTAAGGGAAGCTTAGAACAGTGAGGAAGGGGGAGGGAAAGGCGTGTTTCTTGCAAAATTTGGACATTCCTACAAAGCTCTGGCATGCAGGATGAGCTTGGAGAGCAGGGGCTCTCCGTGCTCAGCACCTCCAGCCTCTCTCAGCCAAGGATCCGCAGCTGTATGGTGGGAGAGCAATGGCTCCACTGTCCCCCAGCCTCTGCAAGCAGCGCGGAGTCCTGGCTCGCACCCACCTGCCTGCTGCCACGTGTGATCTGCCAGACCTGGATCAGGCAGAACAGCCGGTGGCTGGCAATAGCCTGCAAACCTTCAGATTAAACCTTCTAGAGTCGCGTCTGCTGAATGTGCTTCACTAAGCCCAGCCCTGAGGATGCAGACAGAAAGATTTTAGAGTACTTTCTCAGCACTGATTATGCCCAGAGGTTTTCTTACTGGAAGCCAGTAAAATTATCCCCCAAAACAGTATGAGAGCTCAGAGCCAGGCATGCTGCTGGTCCTCCACCACTACGCTTTCCCAAAAGCCTTTCCACACTCTGATTCTTGTCTCTTTTTTCTAGCTCTGGGATGGGATTATGTCTGAACAACGCTCCTCCCAAGCAAGACTTTATCTACCCAACAGTGGCTCCAGGACAGGCCTACGATGCAGATGAGCAGTGCCGTTTCCAGTACGGAGTTAAATCTCGCCAGTGTAAATACGGGGTAGAGAGCCTTCCTGCTTTACTATCTGTTCCCAGGGGATGGAGGACTGGGGCTGCAAAGGGCCATGGGGCCGTTCCTCTGCTGCCCACATCGCTTTCCTGTCCTGCTTGTAATGAAGGGCACTTTTGCACGTTCCCTGTGAGCTTTTCACCTTGCTTCCCTTTGAGAGGACAGAGGAGGTCATGCCATGTCCACAAATGTTGGGCACAGCTCAGTTTCCATCAGATTAGTCCCATGGGAAAAGATCTTTTGCCTCTGCCTAATACCTTGGTTGCTGCTGGACCCCAAGGGCTGCAGCTGAAAGCCAAGCTGCAGTCTCTGCCCCCAGACTCCTCTGTCACTGGGGATTTAGTACGCGCATATTTTTTGTAAGCCTTACTAGAAGTCATTACACTGCACGCACTGACTTAGGAGGAGAATCTTCTTTCTTCCAGGTGAGGCGGGTTGATGTGCTGCAGTATGCCTGAGGGACAGCTGTCCACCTAAGCCACCCCACCACCACACTGCCATCCCTTGATAGCTGAATACAGGAAACCACTGAAAGGAAAGATGGTTTCAGGAGAAAGCGTCTTCCTGCCTCTCAGCCTGACATTTTGCTGTATTTAACAAACAGGACATTGCCAGCTATCTGAGTGTAGTGGTAATGGAGATGTGTGTGCACTAAAGGGCTGACTGAACTCCATAAAGCATCCACTTTCCCCTAGAGAAAGCAGAGGATCCAGCAGTGAGATAAGTGGGCATCTGTCTTGTCTGATGGGTATGAATGTGTATGTATCCACCCACTGCTGACTGCAGTCAGTGCCCCTCCTCATCTGACCCAGAGGCAGTGGAATGGAAAGTTGCCACGTTTACATGCTTGTTTCCCAGATCATTTTTAACTCGGGTGGGCTCTTCCTGTGTATACACAAGGATCACAAAAGCACAAGATGTCCTTGTGATGACCCTTCTAGCCCAGCCTGTCATGCATGCCTGGGAGAAGCCCAAAGAGCAGAAGGGCTCAAGAGTATAGAAATCTGTGCAAATGTGTACATCCACTCATCCCATGTCCCATATAAATGAACTCAAGGGGGATGGTCCAAACACATCAACATACCTTTCTTTCCTGGCCTACTCCATTCCCATGCCAGTACAGAGCAGATTATTAACAAAATCAATGAGGACAAAGTGAACAGATGTAACTGTTGAAGCTGGAAGTCCTTTCTGGTGGTGACAGTAGAAAAACAGGAGCTTTTACTTCCCAATAGTTGTACTGGTTCCACAAGCACAATATGAAGGGATGGATGTCTTTGTAAGTTGGGAGAGACGATCCTTTCCTTGGTTAAAACCAGTTGTAGCTGGGCTTTGGTGACAGAGGTAGAAACCAAAACCCTGTTGCGTTTTGGAACTGAGTTCTGTGGTGCAGACTTGCAGTGTTTTCCCTAAGTTATATCACCCTGTGCCGCTCTGTGCATGCAGCCCCATGAACAAGAGGGAAGAGCAAAACTCCTGGGCTTGTATTTTCACCCCTCTTGGTACCAGCACAGAGGATTCCCAGTCATTGAATCAGTTCATCCTATGGGGAGTATCAGTTACTGTTCAGAGCACAGCCTTTGTTGGGGCCAAGGAATTCCTTGCTGGAGGGCTAAAGCCAGCCTGAGAGCTGCAATGAATGAGCTGCTACCTGACCAGCAGGGCTGTGGTGGGGTCGTGCTGCTGTGGAGCCAGCTGGCAGCCAGGCAGTCACTGTGCCAGCACCCAAGCATGCAGCACAGAACATAGTAGGTTGGCATGCACCATCAGCATGGCCAGTGGCCCCAGGGGGCTGGAGCACATGAGCAACAACTGGGACTGCTAGGGCTCTGCTCTCATGGCTCAATATCATTTATTGACAATGCAAATCTGTTTAATACCTTCAAGTATAACCAAAGTCACAGCAAGCTGCTCTCTCTGTAAAGCAGGAAGTTTTCCGAAGTCTTATTTCAGTAAGATAAGATCAGGGTGTTGGTCAGGCTTGAAACTCAGCTCTGCTTTTTAGCTGCTCCTTTGCAGTCTGCAGGACTTGAAGTCCACTCTGGCTCATTTTGTGGCAAAGCAGGTTCAAAGGACGTGGGCTTTCTGGTTTAGCAGCTGTGATGAATTTTCAGAGTCTCAGACATGGACCTAATATTTGGGTGGGTTTTGAATTGACTAGTAGACGAACTGGAGCAGCCATGGGAAGTTTTTTATCTGCTTGTGCTCCAAGAGGTCAGGATGGGCCAGAGCTCAGGATCTGCATCTCAGGAAACCTCTGTGAAGAAGGTCTGGAGTCCCCAGCCCTTTTCACTCCAGTGGACCCAGCTGCACCCAGGACCTAACAGAGACAGCAAGCTGAAATGCCCACTTCTGGAGCTGCTCAGGCGCTAGTGCAGTACCTGGCATTGTTCTTACTATCCTGAAAGCAGCCATGAATCTTCTAGAGGGGTCTTCCTTTTAGCACTGTTAGGCTGGCTGAAGAGTACTGAGAACACAAGGTGATCTAACCCTGACTAGCAGTGCGCTCCTGAAGGAGGAGATGGCATATGTGACATTAAGCCATCTGTGCCGTGCTCGCATTCCCCAGGAGCCCCAGCTTCCCGCAGAGGCAGATCTGCATCCACCTGGCAGAGGGATGCTCAGGACAGGCACTGCAGACGGGCCCTTGTGCTCAGCCTCCAAAGTGAAGACCCAGTAAAGGAAATGTCCCTGAGCCCTGGAGAGGGGACTCGCTGCCCCAGTGTGCTGCTGTCCCAGCCTTGCAGCCTCAGCACGGGTGAATCCTAACCTTGGCTCTGTGTCTTTGTCTCTTTCTTCCTCCCTCTCTCTCTCTCCCCCAAAATCTCTCTCTTTGCAGGAAGTCTGCAGTGAGTTATGGTGTCTGAGTAAAAGCAACCGCTGCATAACCAACAGCATCCCTGCTGCAGAGGGGACCATATGCCAAACCAACACCATTGAAAAGGGGGTAAGGATGCCTGGGGCACTGTGGCAAGTTGACAGTGGTTGAATTTCTCGTCCAGCAATAACTGTGATTATTGTTTGTATTGATGAGCATGGAGCTGATTCAAGAGCGCCCGCCAGACTGTCCTCTCCCTGGCTTCAAGAGCCTGCAGGAACCCCCACCCTCCCCAGCAATGCACAGAGAGCTTGGGTGTGCCAGGGACAGCCAGAACCCCTAATCACACTCAAATATTGCTAGAAATACATTACATGAAGTCCCTTCTCCAGTCAGCTGCTCGGTCTCACCTGGGAGGTACAGTGATGCAATGTCAGGCAATGGCAAATGCTTTAGGCAAGTGTTTTGTTTTCAGGTCTGCTGGGGCCTCATGGGTGTCCCGAGAAGAGTGATTTTGCCTCAGATTCCTCAGAATGGTTGATAGTTTAGTAACATGTTTTATATCTACTTGTGAAAAACTAAGGCTAGTATTGTTAGACCTTCATTTTTCACACTCAGTTGAGAGAGGAAGGTGGGATTTTTCATGGCCATGTATTTTGAAATAGTTTTGACTTGAAAATCTTTCATCTCTCCTTCCCTGTAGCTCCAAGACCCACTTGCACCAGCACAGAGTGAGTGTGAAACTATTAAAACAAAGTATTAATGACTCACAGTGCCTTTGCAAGCTGTAAATAATAATTGGGACAATGGAGAATCAGGGTTGGGACATTCACCATAAAATGGACATATGTTTTTCCACTAGAGGAAAAACTAATTCCCAAGAAATTCAAGAAAAAAATTAAAATCCTTAAGAAGATGGAGAAGTTTGTGTGCAGAAAAGCAGATGGCTTTGACAAATGCATTATTCTTTGCAAACAGTTGGCTTAGTTCTACTGGAAATTCAATCGAAGGGGATTAGACAGCTCCTGGGGCTGAACATCCCTGCTGCTTGAGATTCACTGTATACAATGGCAATTTTTTCTCCTAGTCATTTTTAACTAGCTTTCCCCTCTTTCAAATATCTATTTTTACCCCCATGTACTCGTTTTCTAACCAGGGTTCCTCAGAAGTCCTAGGATAAGTGAAGTGAAAGTATTCAGAGCACCCAGAACTCAGAATCTATTCCCATTGAAGATAGGGAATCAGTCTGAATCCCCAGTTACCATCCGGTGCTTCAGTTTATCCTTTTGTATTAATTCATGTTTCAGAAGTGGTTTTATTTGCATGGCTAATGTAACTAAATGCACTTTTGCTTTAAGTCTCTGCACCTTTGCCAGCAGGAGCTGCTGGCTGGTGGCTCCTGTGTAGCCGCTCCATGTGCCCACCTGCCCGCTGAGCCCTCAGACCTCATCTGTGGCTGGAGCAGCTCTGAGCTCTGCCTTGGCATCCCCCAGTTTAGCTGAGGAGAACGGAGGGAAAGAATAGGTTGCAGAAACCAATCAAGTTATGCGAAATTAAAGGAGAGATAGGATGAGTTTGTGGTACTCAGACAGAAGGTTCCTGGTCTTGCTGGGTCATTCCCTGACAAATGTCCTTTGCTTTGGATTTCTTTTCTCTTTCTTGGTGTGCCCCGAGACCTATCTGGTCTTGCAGCCAATGCATGTCTTTGTGCTCACTGCAGGAGAGAGAGCTGGGGCAGAGCTGATCGCTGATGCTTTTGGAGGTTGTGGGGTCTGCAGGCTGCCAGGCTCTGCTTGCAGAAGCAGCAGTCCCTGCACCTGTAGCCTAGGGCTGCAGCCAGGCCATCAGCAGGGACCCCAGAAGGGCCACACCTGCTGAGCATCTCTGCACAGCGTTACACCTTTGGAAGCGTGCGGCTGTACAAGTGGGTCGCCAGCTGGGCGTCCTGGGAGGCCCTGGTTTATTTTTCTCTGCCGACTGCACTACCCGTGGAGAGCCTGGCTTGAAAGGAGCTGGAGAGGCTGTGCCAGTAGCTCCAGGGTGGGTTATCAGGCCCTGGAAAGAGCACACAGCAGTTTCTTCCTTCCTGGGATTATCTCGGCCCCCAAGGCATGGTGTCCGGCATCATGCCCAGAGAACGGCAGCGGGTCTGGCAATGTCCTTCTCCTTGCATCACTGTTGACTCCAGGGGGTGCAGGATCTGTTCCAGGTCCAAGAGAAATATTTCAGAGGCAAGTTTGCATGAGCATCCCTGCTAACCCCAAGTATGCAGCGCATACATGTGGTGACGCTGTGACTCAGACAAGAAGGTGCCCAGGGAGAGGCTGGTGCCCTCTGCAGCAACAAACTTGGCTCCAAGGCCAGTGCAGCTCAGAGTTCAGATTTTGAGGGATCATCAGATGGCAGCCCTGAACAGCCTCCCATGCCCAATGGAGGCCAGGAAGCTATCTAGGAGTAGGAGAACGTGTGCTCAGGGTCTTTGAAGCTCTGTCTCTCCCCAGTGGTGCTACAAGAGGGAATGTGTGCCCTTCGGCACCCGACCAGAAGGCGTGGATGGTGCCTGGGGAGCCTGGTCGTCCTGGGGAGAGTGCAGCAGGACGTGTGGTGGAGGCGTATCATCATCCATTCGCCACTGCGACAGCCCGCGGTAGGTGTATGTTGATGCAGCTTTGTTGGTGCAGCCCTGCCTTGTCCTGGCTCTGTGGCACCGCTGCTCAGGTCGATGGGGAAGATGGCACCCAAAAGCCCTGCGCCCAGTTTCAGTGTAGACTGGGAAGGACTGAGCTTGCTGAGTCTCAGCTCCTGTGTGTAAATATCAGCTCTAGCCACGTGCTGCTTTCAAAGACAGCTTGTTACTGTCACATTTGGCGGTGGGTCTGCAGTGACAGACCCAAAGCTGCTCGGACAGTTCTACTGCACACTTGAAGCTGAGCGTGTGGATTTCTCCAGGCAGGACTGTTCCTTGCAACAGAGCAGGGAGGGAAAAGCCATGGTGTTCCCACAGGGTTGGAGCAGCCAACTGCTACTAGCACTGACTCACTCTCCTGAGCTGCTTTTCTCCTCTCATTCTTGATTTGTCAGGCCCACGATTGGAGGCAAGTACTGCCTGGGAGAGCGGAAGCGCTACCGGTCCTGTAACACCGACGTGAGTACCGTCAGGATTGCAGAGAGGAGCAGCGGGGGGTGAGAAGGACTTTGGGAGCCCTGTGCCACAGCAGGGAGGTAGCAACAAGCTCCTTCTATGTGGCTGTGGGGTGTTAGGTGCTGTTGTGGGACCCAGGAACAAGGCTGTGGGGCTGGGTGGGGACGAGCTGTGCTGTGTTGGCAGCGATGCCAAGGTGGGAAAAGCTGAGCAGGACAGTGCATGCCTGCTGAGTACCGCCTTCAGAGGGCAGGTGGGTGGTATGGACCTGCAGGGCTTCAGCATCAAAAAGGGGCCCAAAAAGATAACATGGAAACACAGAGAGATTGGAGGCTTCCAGCACCTACAGAACAGCGGTTGCTTTGTGCTCTGAGTGCAAGCTCAGTGGGGTGAGAGCCACTGATGAAAGACTGTTAATAACACCAGGTTTCCCAGGGGCGGGGCTTCCTCCTCAAGGGGAGGAAGGAGAAATACGTGTGCTGCAAGGAAGCATAATTAAGCTTTGGACCTGGGAAATGATTGCTTTAATGTCCATGGGCTGTTAGCAAGGAAAATAGAGGCCTCCGTAATGCATCTAGCTTTTAAACGACTGCTTGCAAGAGCAAGTGTTGCATCTGCAGACAGGCCAGCTGGGAGCCAACAGTTCATGCCATTAGTCTTCAAATAGTGTTTAGCTTTATGAGGAGGTTGCTCCTGCCATACTACAGCACTGACCTGTTGTCAGAGCTGGTGTCCATCTCCTTGAAGGGCTGGTGCTAGTCACTGCTGGGAGCCCTGTAGCAGCTCCTGCCCTAGCAGATAAGGCAGCTGCTCTCACCAACGTGCTAATCTCTGGCTCTGTGGCTGCAGGACTGCCCGCCAGGCTCCCAGGACTTCCGAGAGCTGCAGTGCGCTGAGTTTGATAATGTCCCTTTCCGAGGGAAGTACTACACCTGGAAGACATACCGGGGAGGTGAGTGCTGCAGGGTCTGGTGCTGCACAGAGCTGGGCCAGAGTCATGTGGGGCTTTGACTTCCCTGCTCTCTGCAGGGACAAGTCTGGTGGTCCAAGTGGACTGGTGGACAGCTAGTCACTCTGTGGGTCCAGGTCCTGCAGGCTGTGTCCCTGTGGCATGTTGCCTTCCCTTCACACGACTGCAGATTGACAGGCTTCTCTTCCAGTGCAGGGCCATGGCTGTCGTGCCATGCCCCTGCCCTTTATCACTCATCTCTGTGCAATTTGCTCTTTAACTTCTTTGTTCTGCCAGAGAACAAAGAGTGTTGGAGATGTTTAGCTTCTTTCCTGGAGTCTGACTAGTTCTTAATTATTGAGTGAGCAAACACAAAAACAAGAAAAGTGAGTTGTTAAAGCAATGCAAAGTGCCGCTGTGTTTTGTCCAGGGCTCTTTTCCCTGGTAGTGTCTGGTATCCAGTGGGGGAGGAAAGGGGCAGCCAGGTAAAGCTTCGGCTTCCAAACGAGCGGAAGGGATCTGAACTGGGGGATCCTGCAGAGAGCAGTGCTCCCCTCTTCCGAGTTCAGTCCTTGTGTGTCCTGCAAAGTGTCTAGCAAGGAGAGGGGGCGGGAGGAGGCCTCTGTGGCCGAAATCTCTTAATAATGAGAAAGAACAGTGCGTCTCCTTCATGTAGTTAATGAACTTGACTGGGGAAATCCTTCACAGCTGTGTAAATAAGCACACCTCCCAGTGGGGCTCCTGCAGCCGGAGCAGATGTGCTGAGGCTGCAGGGGATGGATCAATAAAAATGTAATAAAATTGCAAAGCAGTAAGTCACACAAAGACCTCAATGGATGCCAAGGTGGAAGATAAACCCGCAGGATGGATATTCCCTTTCTTGGACCTCTCTCATTCCCAGTGGTCTGAGTACCAGCCTGAGCCCAGGGGACAGCTGGACAGCTGCATGTTGGCCTTTGTATTTGAATCTGGTGGTGACTGATTTCTGCTTTGGCTCTCAAATAAGCCCCTTCCTCTCCCTGCTTCCTCTCCTATAAAATAAGGTGATGAAATCTGTCTTCTTCTCAGGAGGCTGTGATTGTGTCCACATCTAGAAGGGATCTGGGAGTTCCCTGTGTCAGCTATCCAGATTGGCTTTGCCTAATGGTCATGAGGGAATATGTTATTTGGCACTGAAACTTCACTTATTTGATGTCAAAGGGTATCAGTGTCTTTCCCTGCAGTGTCAAGGGGGGAAACTGAAGCACTAGGCAGGAAAGTGATGTGTCCCCATTCACACAAGTGAAGGGGCTGGAAGTGGCAGCTCCTCAGACTGGTCGGGTGTGGGGGGGATGTCAAGTTGTCAAATGCCAGCTCCCAGCTTTCATAGAGAGATGTGTCCTGACCCCCACCTGCCTGGCAGACCCCTGTCAGCGTTAGCAGCATCAGCTTTTGGTGTGGGCTGTCCACGCTGGGCCCTCGGGTCAGCTGGGACTGTGGCAGCATTAAAGGATCAACACTGTCACCCTTCCCAACAGATTTATTTGCCCAAGTCTGAGTGATATGGCAGGACTTTGCAGCACGGGCACTCATCTGCCTTCCAGCTGGTAGTGACTGTGCTCTGCAGGTTGCTTTTGAGCCTGTGTCCCCGTGCCAGGAGACGTTCACCACTCTGGCTGGGCCTCTTCCCCCTGCTGAGCTTGGCCACTGCCTTCAGTGCTGCACCCTCCAGCCACCCCATCGCCAAAAGGCGCGGCAGTGCGAGGGTGCCTGCGCCATCCACCACCCATCAGAGCCATCAGACGCCAGCCCCACAGCGATGTCCCTTGCTAGATGGGAAACCTCCCAACCACGCAGCACCCACACCCTGCAGCTGGGAGGGGAGGAGGGCACCAGTCCCACAGGGAATTTGGGAAGGGATGAAGCCACCACTGGAAGCCTGGCGCCAGCTGCCGGGTCACTGGCACGCTGAGGTTGGGTTTTGTGTGGGGCCAGTACGGCATGTTTTCCTGGCGGTGATTTATAACGGCCCTGGAGCCCAGACCCCAGGAGCGAAAGACAGCCCCAGTGAGAAGTGCTGAGCTCAGCCTTTCAGAGCCCAGCAGTCAGCAGATACCTTGTGGAATGCAGCTTTAATTGTTTGTTTATTTTGTTTTATTCGCTTAGTTATTCATTTTGCTCTTGGCAGATGCAAGAGCCAAGGGAGAGAGAAATGGCTCATGGGGCTGGGAGAGGGATAGGGAGGAGCAGGGGCTTGCAGAAAACAGGAGATTGCTCATTATAAATTGTAATGCACTTTAATTCTTCTATGGGACAGGGCAGGCAGGAGGAACAAAACATCCTCTGAGGCACTGCGTAGCAGGTAGACAGTACCTGCAGCAGACCTGGCTCTTACTGACCTCACACTGCTCATCCCAAAACCAAGGAGCACACTGAGAAGTGCCCAGGGGTTTCACCTACCTGGGGGCAGCAGGCTGGGATTTGTACAGAGCTTGTGGCAGATCCTGTGCTGTTCAGGGCTGTATGGTTGGGTCTGCAGCTTATTCCTCAGTTGTCAGTGAATTTGTAACTTTCACTGGGCACACTGAGGAGGTCCCAGTCACTTTCTGGAAGTAGGCTCTTCTTCCGCGGGGCACCCACCTCTGCACAGATAGTTCAGGCACTGCAGAGCCTGCGCATCCACTGCTGAACGCCTGCAGAGGCTTGTGCTGAGGACCAGCTTGTGCTCTGTGGATGCTACGGGTGTGTGGCTCGTGCAGTTAACCCTGCCACTGATGTTTTACACCTGAGGCGTGGCAGGGCAGACCTGGGGCGCAGGCGTGCCATGGCAGATGGCCATGAGTTCTCAGGGCCATGCCTGCTGTCCCTCTTGGTGGCTCTGGTGCTCCCTCGGAGGCAGGAGAGAGCCCAGGGTGCTGCAGAGTGTTTGGCTCTCCAGAAGAAGGGTTGATGTACCTTTTCCAGGGGCTTGCCCAGGCATCCTGCTTGACAGCATGCCTCCAAGCAGCTGAATTCCCCTCTCATGTCTCCTCCTGTTCCTCCCTCCCCCAGCTTCACTCTTCTTCCTTCCCCCTAGCTGCATTCGGGTGCTCCCAGGCACAGCTGGGCCACCCTTCCCCTCCATCTGCCCTTTGATGTGCAATAACGACTTGCAGATTTTTAAGATTTCGGTTGCTACAATTTAGGGGCTTCCCAGCTCTGGGAGGCAGCTTGTGTCTGCAGCCGGTGCCTGCAGGAGCAAACTGCCAAGACTTGCTCTCTGCCAGGGTCCTGCATGCTGTTGGATCTCCTTGGGCTGTTCACTAAAATCCAATGACAGCAGAGAGGAAACTGCTGTGCTCAGGTCTCTCCTTCCAGTTTCCTTCCTCCATAACCAGTCCTGTTTCCAAGCACCGTAAGCAAATATCCAGATACCCAGCTTTTTTGTTCTTTAGCTGGTACTTTGGCAAAGGCTGCTATGAAGCAGGTATTTCAGCTGTAACTTGAGCATCCTTCCCCTTCCTCCTCATACTTCTGTCACCTTCTCTGCTGTGAATGGCTCAGTTCCCACCAGTTCTGGACAGAAAGAAATGCTTTCTCTGGCTGTGTCGTGTAGTGGCTGAGAAACTGGACTGGAACTAAGGAGACAGTTCGTTCTAGCTTTTGGCCTGATCTTAGACAAGTTGCTTTAGAACTTCTGCCTCAATTTCCCTGCCTGTAAAGTGAGCACGAGTGCCACAACAGCCTTCGTAAAGTGCCAGGTGGCCCAGGAGTGACTGATACCACGTAAAAGCAGGTCAGATTGTTTCATTCCCCGTCACATAGTTCCTCAGGATGTGCAGAAAGGACAGTGTCTCACCATGTGTCAGCATCTGGTTCAAGGGTCATGGCTTGGTGCTGATCACTATGAAGATGTCTTGGTATCTCCATGAGCCCCTCCTCATGGTGGGGACGTCCTCCTGGTCACCTGGAGCTGAGCAGCCAGGCCAGGTGCAGGATGAGCCCATGGGGAGACCGAGGGCAAGGTCTGTCTCTCCACATCCTTTCTCTTTCTCCTCAGTGGCATCATTTAAACCTCCACCTCTTTCCTAGGGGGTGTGAAAGCCTGTTCCCTCAACTGCTTGGCTGAGGGCTTCAACTTCTACACGGAGAGAGCAGCAGCTGTGGTGGATGGGACGCCGTGCCGGCAGGACTCCAATGACATCTGTGTCAATGGGGAGTGCAAGGTGCAGCTGGGCTTTGGGATGGGCTTGAGGCAAGGGCAGAGCCAACGTGGATAGAGGCAGCGTGGGCATGCCTCTGCTCTGCATGTGTCTGCAGACCGGGGCATGCCAGGGCAATGGAGGGGAGCGAAACAGAGCCCGGGGAGTTCCCTGCTCCTGGGACACTGCAGCTGGGGTGTGGGAGGACAGGGCCCCACCAGGTTCACTAATTGCCCGCTGCTCCTTCTTCCAGCATGTGGGCTGTGACCGTGTCCTGGGCTCTGATGTGAAGGAGGACAAGTGCCGTGTATGCGGGGGAGATGGCAGTTCCTGCGAGACCGTCGAGGGCATCTTCAACCAGTCCCTGCCGGAGGGAGGTAGGGTGCAGCAGCCCTGCCAGCACAACCAGTGTCACCCATCCTGGGGCCCCTCCTCACAAGGGGCATCTTGGCTTCAGTGCTCCTAGGGACACATGGAACAGGCAGGGACATCCCAGGGAACCAGCCCAAAGGGTAGGACCAGGCTGAAAGCAGGGAGCATATCACCCTTTGCTGACCAAGCCACATCCCAGCCACCACTGGCACAAAGTGTCAAATTCCTGCCCTCCTCCCCATTCTGTTTAACTGTGATGGGTGGCTAAACAAACACCTTGGCACTGCCAGTACCTTGTTTAATGTTTTAACCCACATGTCACGGGATGGCACGTACTCCCATCTAGTGCAGAATGGGGTTGACGGTGGGCTCAGAGGCTCAACATCTCTTTTCATCACCTCATGGTGTATCGCAGGTTACGAGGAGGTGATCCAGATTCCCAAGGGTTCCGTCCACATTGACATCCGGGAGCTGAACCTCTCCATCAACTACCTAGGTGAGAAGGGGTTGAAATCCCAGACAGAGACTGCTTGGCCTGCCCTTTGCCCTGCTGTTGGCAGGGTATGAGAAAGGCCCAGAACAGAAAACCTCCTGTTCAGCAAGGGGGTCCCAGCATGGCGTGGGGTCAGAGGAGGGCAACAGGGGATGCTGGCAGGGCCGCCTGTGGTACACACAGCCCCATCTCACCATGGCTTTGCCTCTGTCCTGTGCTCACTGTTCAGCAGCGTAACCCTGAGCAAACCTCACACCCCGCTGTTCCTGGCACTGCCTGTTGTTCCTTGGCATTCCCCCCTCCGCCAGCATGTTGGGCTGGGGATTAAAAATAGACCTGCTCACATTTTCCTTGGGCTCAATTTTCCAGCCAGACTCTGGCTCACTGTTTTTCTAACGGGCTTTTTTTTGTCTTCCCTTTCTGTCGTCTCTGTGATGGGCAGCAATTGCGGAGGGGTGGGTAGGGAGCTTGCTCGGGTGCCTCTGCAGGCAACTCTCCAGGATCAGGAGCCAGTGGGAGGTGGCAGCGAGGCTGTCCTGGCAGTGTTCCTCCAGGCTGGCGCTTTCTGCTGTGTTTGGGGATGCTCTGGGTAAACTGGGGACTCCTCATGGCTGTCCGAGTTGGATTTCTGTGTACTGGAGGCACAGCTCAAGCTCATGGCACTTTCTACTGCTGCCACCAGTGTCTCCCACTGCAGGAGCTGTCCCTGTACTCCAGGTGGGACGGGAAGGTGCATCTTCCATCCTCATCAATCCCAAACACTCTCCCTGCCCCAGAGCATCATGGCAGTGCCAGCCAGATGTGGACGCTGCTGGTGGCGCAGCACAAGCAGGGCGAGCGTGGGAATGGGAGTGGGAGCGGGTGAGAGCAAGAGTCGATCTCCCTCTAGTGACTCCCATCAGCAAGCGCAGCCAGGCAGCTGGGGACCAGCCTTTTCCAGTAGCCCCAGCAGCCAAGATCCAGTTTGCACAGCTGGATTTGAGCCTGGCTTTGTGGCCACCAGCTCGTCGTGCTGCCAGGTGTCCCCACTGCCGCAGGTGGCACAGCTCCCTGCAGCATCATCCTTCCGCAGGGTGGTGACAGGGAGGCTGAGACCGAGGGGATGAGTGCATTGGTCCCCTCTCTGCTTGTGACTTTCTGCATGATTTTGACTCAGGCATCTGTTTTCTTTGCCCCACCTATTCCTGCCCTGTTAAATGAGGCCAAGGATATTTTCCCCTCCCACATAACAGGGCTCTAAGCCCAGAAGATAAGAAGCCTGTGGCCAACACTGGACATGGGCACATGTTCAGTCTTTCTGCTGACCCTTCCTCCCCTGTCCTGGCAGCGCTGAGAGGGGAGGGTGGCGAATACTACATCAACGGGAAGCTCTCCATCGACCCGCCACGACGCTTTGACATCGCAGGCACCACATTCCACTACAGGAGGTCCCCAGACGAGCCTGAGTCCCTGGAGGCCTTGGGACCCACCAATGTCACCCTCTTTGTCATGGTTGGTAACAGCACATTTCTGCATACTCCCACCAGGCCTTGCCTGGGCTAGAGATGCCTTGTGGTGACTGCATGGGAATTAGAGCTAACCAGCCTCTGTCCTCACTGCCCAGAGTAAAAGGGGCATGGAGATCAGAGGTAAATTGCCCTAAATTCCTACGTCTCCCTCCCTTGATTTGCCAGGCTTTGGAACAGTTCATTCTGTAAGCGCACAGTGGCTTGTCCTTTGATCATGTCAGCTTCATGGCTGCACCATTGTCACCACTGGTGGCTGTCATGTCAGTGCTAAAGGGAACTGGAAAGGGGAGGGGAGAGATTTCAGCTGCCCTGCATTTCACAGAAAGCACTGGGGTCATGGGACACCATCCATGCAGTCTCAGCCATGCTGCACTCAGCGGCACTGATCCCTCAGCCATGCGTTTCCCTGCAGGTCCTCGTGCGGACAGAGCTGCAGGGGATCCGGTACAAGTTCAACGCACCCATCAGCAGGGATGCCTCCAACCAGTACTCCTGGCACTACACCCCATGGACCAAATGCTCAGTGCTGTGTGCAGGAGGTGAGATTTGACCGCATGTCAGCTGGGGAGGGATGCAGGAGGGATGTTTCCCTGGATGCCATGGGCTGTTACAAGCGTTAGCACCATTTCTCATGGCTCTTGGAGAGCCTGGCTGCAAGAGACTGAGCCAGCATTTAGAAGGAGAGAGAGAGGCAGTTTGAAAGGCCTAATAATGTTTCCTGTCTAAAACTAAAGGCCCTGGCCTGCTCTTGTTCTAGGCCTCAGCTGAGGCTGATGCTTTCCATCTCTTCTGCTGGCTGTTCCCCCCAGGGCTGCCTGGAAAGCCTCACAAGACAAAGGTTAAGTCGGGGGTTTTTTTTGAGGGTGAGATCCCAGGAACCCTTTGATCCTCTGCAGGCCCTGCTGAGCCCTCCCTTGGCTGGTGAGCCTTCATGCCTCCCAGCCCTCTCAGAGATGTGAGAGGCCGAGGAGGCCTTGGTTGTGAATAGAGAAGCAGGTTCACGCCTGACAAGGTGCAGTGACAAGTGGCAGCACTGTCATGTGCTTGTGTGGGAGCAGAGCCATGGGTTTTATACCTGCAGCCTAGCTCAGCACCAACCTCAGGCTTGCTCCACCCCCTTGCTTCTTTTTCTCGGCAGGCAGCCAGATCCAGTCCGTCGTATGCAGGAAACTCTCCGATAGCTTAACTGTCTCCAACCATTTCTGCAACTCTGAAACCAAAATGCCAGAGCGGCAGAGGCCATGCAACACCGAGCCATGCCCCCCGGCGTGAGTACCACAGCTTGGAGCACGTGGAGGGAGTGTGGGGAGAAGATATGGCAGTGGAAGAGGGTGTAATTCCCCCTCTGCCAGTCTCAAGTCAAGAGTCCCCTGCTACAGTCCATAGGGGTGACACTGTCTGGGGCAGCTCTACTGGGGTTGCATTTGTCTCCCTCGTGTCTCTTGCAAGCTTTGCTTTTCTCCCTGTCCCCAGCTGGGTGATTGGGAACTGGTCCGAATGTAGCCGAAGCTGCAATGAGGGTGTCCGCACGCGCAGTGTCTTCTGCAAGCGTAAGATCTCTCCCACTGAGGAGAAGACCTTGGATGATGCCTCCTGCACCCAGCCACGGCCAAAGATGCTTGAGCCTTGCAATAACCAGACATGCCCTCCAGAGTGGGTTGCCCTGGACTGGTCCGAGGTACGTGCTCATCTGCTGCCCTCATCTCTGAGGATGTTGGTCTGTAGAACAGTGTCAGGCACTAGGACAGAGCACTGGTAATGTCACACATGGAGAGTACAAGATGGGGAGGTGTCCTCTTACAGCTCAGGAGATGGGTGAGACAGGAGCCCTGGCGGGGAGAGCCGGGGACTGCCTGTCCCTGCTCTTCGCCGCGTGTCTTTGACTGCCCGTCTCCTCTCTGCAGTGCACCCCCAGCTGCGGGCCGGGTTTCCGCCACCGCATCGTGCTCTGCAAGAGCGGCGACCACAGCACAACGCTGCCCACCTCCCAGTGTCCTGAGGGCTCCAAGCCCCCCACCAGCATGAGGTGCAACCTGCGGCGCTGCCCACCCCCACGCTGGGTGACTGGCGAGTGGGGAGAGGTACGGACACTCTTTCCCCTGGGCTTACTGCGGGACAAGGCTCCGTTGCCCAATGGCCTCAAATCCCAGTGCACACAAGTCTTTTACCCACAAGGTGTTGGCTCTTGGTGGGGTGGCTGTCACTGTGTTAGCGTGACTGTAGGGCTGTCCCTACAGCTCCCAGCCCTGCTGGCTCTCAGCCTGCTGGAGGGATGCCCTGAACCTCATGTTTGCAGAATGTGCCATAAATTCTGATCAGCCCCTGCTGGTCAGCAGTGGCCTCTCTCCTCCAGCCTCATCCCGTGATGGAGGCTGAGAACTTCAGCTGCTCTGCAGCACAAAAGGTAAATACAGGTTTAAAAAAAAAAAAAAAAAAGAAAAAGTAAAGGGGCCAGGTGCTGTCCCTACAGAGCACTTGGACCTTTACTTTTTCTGGAAACCTACCTGACTTCCCTACGCTCCCTTAGATCTAGGACTTCAAACCTCTCTGCTGCCCAACAAGCAGGGGTGTCCTGCCAGGACAGTGGGGCTGGACGGGTGCCCACCCCCTCAGTCACAACATAGGGACTATACAACATCTGGTGGGGATGGAGGGAGCCTGAGGAAGGCTCCATGATCCCAGGTCATGGAGAGCCATTGCTCCATGGGCACATGGACATGGCAGCAGCCAAGTCAGGGCTGGGCACAGCTGGGCACTGACAGCGTGCGTGCAGCCTCAGGGACACCTGCTGATCACCACAATTCTCGGCCATCCCAACTTGGCTGTGTCTCTGTGGGACACGGCTCATCCCCATGCACCTTTGGGCTGCAGTGATGGGCTAGGATGGCTGGAAGCAGGGCCACCATCAGTCTGCCCAGCACAGTGCCCATAGCAGGGTGGTGCTGGAAGTCCTCCCTTGCACTGCAGGAGGTGCAGGAGGGCTGCCTAGGGCTGGTGATTTAGGGCTAGATTGGAGACCCTGGAGTCTCAGACCAACCTTCTGGGGAGCAGGGCTGGAGCTCTCAGCTGTGTGGGTGCTGTGGGAAGGGACGACTGCATCAAGCACATTTTGCACCTCCTGAGCCCTGCTGTTCCATCTGCCCCCACGCTATTGCAGCCACTGCAGCTGGGTGTTGCGTTGTTTCCCGGCAGTGCTCTGCGCAGTGCGGCTTTGGCCAGCAGAGGCGATCCGTCCAGTGCCTGGCTCACACCGGGCAGCCATCTGGCGACTGCCTGGAAACCCTGCAGCCTCCTGGCATGCAGCAGTGCGAGACCAAGTGCGAGTCAGGACCCACAGACAACCCTGAAGGTAAGGGAGGCAGCGGGATTGGCGGGAGGCACTAAGCCCTGCTGGCATCTGGGACCACAAGGGGCAGGGCAGTGCAGCCAGCACAGCCTGCGCTGGGCTCTAGCTGTGGGTTAAGGGTTTTTGGGGGCAGACCTGATGCTGTCCCCAGTTGTCCATGGCCAAAACAGTCCACTGTGACCATGATAAATGAAGTAAGTGCACCTTTGCAAATGTAGGCTTTTAGTAGCGAGGCTCTCAGTAGCTGTTTCTTCAGTACCAACACATCTTGCTCCTCTATGGCAAATGGTCCCCAGGAGCTGGGCATCGGGGGTGCCACAGGGGAGGGCCTTGAAGGGGACTGGCTAAAATCCTGCCCTGGAGCTCCTCACCCTGGGCACAGCTCTAACTCCACTTCCTTCTGTCACCCATCCAGAGTGCAAGGATGTGAACAAGGTGGCCTACTGCCCGCTTGTCCTGAAGTTCAAGTTCTGCAGCCGGACGTACTTCCGACAGATGTGCTGTAAAACATGCCAGGGGCACTAGGAACATGGTGACCCTGTGGGAAAACTGGAAGGCAAGAGCTGCGCCGAAGGGCCGCCGAGCCGGGCTCTTCCTCTCGCCCCGAGAACCTTCCCTGGGCCCAACACAGACACTGGTCGTGCTTCCGGTGGGAGCCGGCATCACCCCACCTGTCCCCCAAAGACACGCACCCTTCGCCCCCAAGCATCCCAATGGCAGATCCCAGTTAAACCACTGCCGGCTACTGCAGAGACCATGGCCAAGCGTGAGAGGAGCCAGTCACCATGGTGGGAGAGGGAGAAGCTGGGCAGAGCGCAGCAGCAGGGACATTACTTGAAATTCTGATACTGTTATTTATTTAGTAGTGGACCCAGGTCCTGCAGGTGCTGAGGCGGTACCACTCGCCCTGCTCCTGCCTCATCCTACACTGCTTCACGTCCCGAGGGGGTGCAAGCCATCCCTGGGTGCCGCTGCCTTTCCCAAGGGAGACAGAGAGGAATTTTCAGGTGCCATGGGTGATGTGATGAGCATGGTTTGTAGCCATCAGCTTCTGGGTGATGGACGAAGACAAGCTGCCATGAGGAGTGGGGTGGGAGCAGGGATATTTGCTTCACTTGCATCCTGTCACCTTGGGACCTGCAGCAGGTGATGGAGAACAGGTCACTCAGTGAGTAGAGCGGTGACACCAGTTTAACTGGGAGAGGGACTTACTCAAACTCCCTTCACAACCTACTTTGATTGGGGCGTCCCTGTATTTTTCCTAAAAGCCCTTATCACTATTATGACTGTTTTTCCTTTTGAAGACACCTCAAAGCGTGAGCTGAGGTCAGGGCTGAGGCATGCTCGGCCCTGACAGTCACTTACGGGGTGTTGAGGCTGTGCTGGGCCGCAGGAAGCAAAGCTAGGGAGGATGCTGGAGGAGAACTGTCCCACAGCATCCCCACTGCCAAGCCATGAACTGGGACCAGTCTGTGCCCAGTCCTGGCTGGGCCCTCCCCAGGGAATGCCATGGCCTCCTATGGTGCTCTGCCTCCTATGGTGCTCTGCCTCCAAGGGTGCTCTGCCTCCAAAGGCAGGCTCACTGCATGCAGCTGTGGCCTCAGGGTACCAGTCCCAGTGCCATGCCACTGCCCCCAGGAGACCTCCAGTGATGGGAAAAGAGCAGGCTTGACATTCCTCCAGGTCACCTCCTGGCCAGATCTGGGCCAACGCACATCTCCAATGGGCCATCACAGCCTGCTGGAGGAGACCTGAATTTGCAATGTACTAAGCATGTGCTTTTTGTTACTATTATTATTTTTGGGTCTTTCTGCATCACAAAGAGGAGAAACCTTGTCCCAGGCCAGGTTCTGTTCCCCTTGGGGGTCATCCTCAGGGTGCAGGGTCAAGATCAGCCCTCTTTTCCCAGAGCAAGCCTCTCTGCCCTGCCAGCCCTGATGTGTTACTCTACCGTCTGTATTTTTACCCAGTCATCAGCCGATTGCAGCTTCTCTGGTGCTCAGCAAATCCCCTTTGGCTGGCAAGCGGGCATTAATTTGTCTTCATTCCCAGTGCAATGCTCCATTCTGACATGTTGGGAGGGGGTGTTTTCACCTTTTTATATAGATATATATAATGAAAAATGTTTAAAATACTAACTCTAAGGAGGAGCGTCGTAACGGCATGATTTATAATAAAGGAGTAGCTACAATCCCAGGTGCAGGTTCTGGTCCCAGTGTTGTTTCTCAACTGGTGAGCCTTGGCTCTGGACAGCCCCATGCCATGATGCTGCCTGTGCTGATGCTAGAAGAGGATTTTGGGCAGCAGTGGGGTTCCCTGCACCCCAAGTGACCAGAAGGGGTTGGGGGATTTATCTAGAGCTGCTGCATGACACAAAGGAAGTGTCTTCCCCTTTGAAGACCCCTAGTGGGTGGGCTGTGCACCCCTGGGCTGTAAACCCCATATTGCTAATTCTGGTTTGGGATTTTAGGGGTTTCTTTTGCTCGGAGCCTGAGAGATATGTGGTGCAACGGATGGGGTGATGTGGGGAGCTCCTGCAGGAGGGGATGTCCTGACAGAGGAGCTGCTGTTGCACACAGTATAGTTTTGCTGTTCATCCCCAAATGTACCACCAGAAAGGGAGGAATTTATATATTAAAAAAAAAAAATGCTTGAAAGCACGAGCTTTCTGGTTAAGGATGCAGGGAAGGCATGGAGCAGCCAGATGCTGTGCCCACCTGAGCAGAGATTTCAGCCCCAACCCCAGCATTTGCCCTCCCTGCAAGGGCAATTTCCTTGATGGCATTTCCTGGTTTCCATTCTTGTCTCATGAGGCATGAAGCAGCACATGCAGGGCAGATGCAGGGCATAATGCTCAGCCTGAGCAATGCAGAAGTAAAGCCCAGCCCAGGTGTGGATCCTGCATGAGTCCCTTCCCAAGGGGCCTGTGAACGGAGCCGCTGCTGCCCTCATCCTTGGCAGCTGAAGCAATTGGCTCTGCCACTCACCTCGGGGTGTTCAGCACCTCCATTTTGGCTACAAGCAGCAGCATCTGAATCTCCTGACCTAGACACTGCAAAATCCTGAGTGACTTTGAGAAAATGCAAACACGAGTGGGCTCCTTGAGAGATGCTTAGGGTTTGGCTCTGCTCACATGTTTTGGGGGCATTTTATCCTGCTGGGTCCATGTGTTCTGCTCACAGCCAGTTTCAGTCTTTTCTCCTTTCAGCTTCGAGGCTGAAATGCTATTTCTTAGAAAGAAAGAAATGACACCGAGGTCTCTGCTGTCTTGTCAGTCCAGGAACCAGCGCTCTCCAAAAAGGTACTAAGCGACCTGATAACATCTCATGAACAGTAAGGTTTCTCTGCGTTCCCGTGTGTGCATGGGTCATGGCACCTTGCTCCCAGTCACTGAGGTCGAGCATTTTGGCTGCTGAGCTCTTGGTGCCTTCAGCCTCATTAAGCAGCAGTGCTGCGGTAGTGATGCTTCTCCCTGTCCTCTCCAGCTGTCTCCCGCTTTGGGAACCTTCACCTGCAGCCTGGCAAACACTCCCTGCATTGCACCCCTCCAGCGATGCATCTAGTGGGGAAGATGCCCATTTGCATGATGGATGCTTCAGCACTCGTGGCCATGGGTGCACCCACAGGGATGGGTGCTGCAAGGCCGAGGGTGCCCCAGGTTGTATTTCTGCCCCACACCCCAAGTGATGCCTCCAGCTCCCATCCACATCTGACATTGCCTTTGCCAGAGTTGGAGGCAGAGGCAGCATGGCCAGGGGCTGCAGCAGGTAAGTGCTCAAAACCCAAAGGAAAGGCACTCATTGATTCTGCCCTCTTTACCTTAATATTAATTGGAATGTACAGAAACCTCTGGGTTTTGAGACACGTACCCTTGGGACGTCAGGCAGTCCTGATCTTCCTGCAGCTCGATGGTCTCTGAACCAGCTCCAGCCAAAACACTTCCTTAAGCATGGTCTGCTTAATCCAAAAGATGTGGAAAAAAAGCAACGACCAACACCATCGTGCTCCTAAAGCCAGCTCAGAGCAGAGCATCCCCCAGCTGCATCAAAGTGACCCCCAGGGTGGGGGAAAATGTTCAGAGCTCTGAGCATTCCTGCCCAGCTGCACCCTGTGCCCACCAGCACCACCTGCATCCCCAGGACAGTGACCCTGGCACCCACTGGCTTTGGCAGTGGGGGCACCCTGGGCAGGGCCACCCCAGGCCCCCCCCTCGACAGCGGGAAGAAGCTTTCATCCTCCTCACCCCACCCCCCCAGCAAACCGGCACTAAATGAGGAAGTGGGAGGAGAAAAAAATATCATAGCAAGTTGTAGTTGCAGGAGAAACACCGAAGCGAAGCCCTTTGGGATGGACCTGTGCCCACGGTGACAGGAGCCCCGAGTGCCCCATCACCAGGGGCAGGACGCAGGGACACCATGGTGAGTGCAAGCAGGGGGCCTCGCTGGCCTCCCCCCCGCCCTGTCCTCTCCCAGAGCCCTGGATGTCACCTTGGGGTGTCTTCCTGCCACCTTGGAGCTATCTTAGCCCTGTCCTCTCCTGCACCCACCTGGGACTGGGGGTGCCAGGAGCCCCCACAATGTCCCTGATGGAGAGAGGATGGAGCTGCCCAGGCTCAGGGTGAAGGAGCAGGGCTGGGGCTGAGCGAGGTGCTGTGTGGGGCACGGTGCTGGGGAGCAGCTGCCTGAGGATGGACGCAGGGTGCTGGGTGCAGGATCCCGCAGGGTTGATGCACATGGGAGCACTGACCCGAGCAGGATCAAGGGCAGCAGGCGGTGAGCCAGGCTGGGCACAAAGCGCTCTTGATTTTGCCAGCATGGTCCCCCTATAGGAACCCCTGTCTTCCTCTTGGCCCAGCTTCCTGCCAGCGCTTCTTATTTCGGTGCTCATGGCACCAGCAGGGTGCGGGCAGAGCACAGTGGTGTGGTGGGGGCTGCCGGGGGTGTTTGTGCCCCCTGAGACCAGCTCAAGCTGGGAGGGACCTGCAAGTGCTGGCACCCAGGGGTCGAACCTCACATCCCAGTGCATGCAGGGAGATAGGGGATGGTGGCTCGGGGCTGCTGCAAGGGTAGCAGCTGGAGCTGGAGGTTGATCTGGAGGAAGAAGAGGAAGATGCAGGCTCTCAAAATGAAGAAGATGCTCAGGCATGGAGTGAGGGGCTGCACGGTGTGGCCATGGCCACATCCTCCAGCCCACAGCTCTGCTCCCTCCGCATGTCTGAGCGCTGCCTTTCCTGGCCATCACTTCCCACCAGCCAGGAGCAGGGTCAGCAGCTGGGCTGAAGCAGAGCCTCCTCCTCCCTACAGCAGCCACTGGTTGCAGTTGTCACCTTCAACAGGCTGCTCCAGCACTGTCCCCGCAAGACACGGACAGCTGAGACCCGATGATGTTTCACGGTTTCACAAGGGGTCATGGCTGCACATCCCCCCTGGGACCCTGCTTCGGGGTCAACCTCCATCCCCAGAACTCGGGGGTGAACGCCCCCTCCCTAGATGTTGTTTGTGCCCATATCAGGGGCCAGCCAGGCTGCTGACAGAAATACAACACCCTGTGCTCCTCTTCTCAAGGCTTCCTGTGGTTTCAAAGGTGTTGGCTGCATCTGGGCTCGCCCTATCTTGAGAACAGAGCTGCCACCTTGGGCAGCGTCTGCTCCGCCTTTGGCACTTGCAAGGGTTTTGTTTTTTTGGTGGCTCAGACGTGAGTTTTGAAGAAAAACAGACAATGTTTTGCGATCGCTGGTGCAGGGCTGCTCCCGAGGTCACTGCTTGCATCCGCAGCCCTGGTCATGGGTGGTGGCTGTGGTGGTGACAATCCCCGTCCTGCAGCCCTCGCAGGGGCTCCTAGCTGCGACACATGCACCCATCATGTACAGGGCTGTCAGCAGAGCAATGCCCTTTGCACAAAGTGGCTGCAGACTGTGCCTGGATGCCCGGTCCAAGGGCTGCTGAAAGCCTCTTGCCACTCGGCTCTAGGACAAAATGGCTCGTGGAGGTGTCTAGTCCTGGCCATCCGCCTGTCCCCTTCCTGGCAGGACCCATCTGGTGGCAGTGGCTATTAATCCACTGCTCTCCAGCTCACCCCTTGCCTTGGCCAGCAGCGCAGGAAGGGACTGGGAACCCCTGACCCATGCCTCTGAAAGCAAATTCAGCTTCTGCCCTGCACGGAGCCCCTGCTCCCCACAGGGATGCTGCCCCTCACCTCCTGCAAGGCTTTTACCCAGCACATCAAGCCATGACCCCATGAAATCTTCACCTCATAGGATGTTCCCAGGGATGCTGGGCAGTCTTTGTGCTCCCCAAAACAGAGCAGAAACACCCACGACCCTGCAGACGTCTGGAACAAAACCTTCGTTTAAAGTGAGACGGTGCTTTCCCTGCAGCTGTGCTGCATCAGGTGCCGGGCTGAGTCAGGAAAACCCCTAATCTGTGCCTGAGGAAGAGGAGGAGGCATGTGCTGGCTTCCAGCTGCTCTGAGCAGTCATTTGAGTGAAGGAGAAACTTCAGGTGTCAGCTCGAAAGCGCGAAGCTTGCAGTACAGGAAATGCCTACATTGACCTTAATTCAGGGCTGTAAGACTCAGCATGAGCTCAGGGTGCCTGTACCTGGGGGCTTGGGGTGATATAAGTGGCAGACGGGGAAGCCAAGGTGTCAGTGTCCCCATGGGCTGCTCCCAACCTGCTCACCTCCACTTAAAGCATGAGGTTTTGGCCAGGTCAGGGCTGGCAACCTTGGGGTTACCGGCAGCACCCTGGGTGACAGCATGGTGACCTGGGTGGCCTTTCCGTGGGCTCATTAAGATAGAGGGGAAGAAGAGGAGGGGAAAGCAAGAAAAAGGACCATATGCAATGAACTGGAGGAAGAAGAGAAGCTCTGTGAGCAGCCCCGATCCCATCCAGAGCCCCTGAGCTGACCCAGACCCATGCATCCCAACTGCTTGCAAAGGGGCAAGGAAGCTGAAATCCCCCTCACTGGTTATAGGGCCATGAGCTGTATTTGGTAGCTGGGATTTTGTGAGTAGGGTTACAAAGCCCAGCAGCCCACCAGGGATGGAGGTGGCCAGGGAGAGCAGCCCGATGTTGCTGATCCCCTCCCTGCTCCATGAGCATCCCTCAGTCACCCCTCGTGATGCTGCTGGGGGACAGGGGCGGCTGCCTGTGACTGTCAGGGGCAGATGGGAGGGTGCAAAGGCAGCGGCATCCTGAGGCC